TGCCTAGGTTTCCAATTTCTTTTGTCAATATTATTTGGAAGATCATGATGTTGACTCATTGAAATCATTGCTCTGTTTGTTTTTGAGCAAGATGGAACTTTCTATTACTAAATTTCTAAAATTCATTTTCACTATTTACTGCCCACTCATGGATTGTATGCTTCAGGTGAATTCTATGGTTCTCAATGTCCTTCTCATTTGTTGAGAAGCAAAGTAAAATTATTCGCTGGTAGATTATCAGCTGCCTCCTCTTGGGACATATAGTATCCTTGTGCTAGCATAACTATGAAGTTCTAGCAGGGGTACTTCAAATGTCATGTTTAATGCTTTCAACTTTGGTTCAATTTTGGGCCGGGTCAGGTTCAGTTGGGTTTAGGATTTTAGAGTAAACTTAGTTATACTTGCATTCTCAAAATCTCTAAGTCTTTGCGTATTTTCTCTTAAATGGTTCAAATCTGTAATCCCACACTAAATAATCTTTCGCAAACTCGGAGTTAAGAACTCAGCTATACTGACGAGTCACTAACCCCTTAATTTCGTTACAAACAAAAAATCTAGCCCAGGACCCAGAGTCTCAGATAAATGCATGATGACAGCTGCAAACAAGAAGTCACTTTCTAACACATGCTGTTGATTCTTATTGAATAGTGTTGATTGGAAAAAAATCTGCAAAACTTTCAAAATCAATATATAAGGTATAATATAATTTTTCATCTGTTTTCTTTGAATTTGGTTAGATGGGGAAAATATGTACAGATGGTATGTGCTAGAAAGTCGAAACATCTGTCAGAAGTTTCCTAATCAAGCAGTGGTTTTGTTGCTGATATTGACACATCTTCATGACAATTTGATTGCGTGTGACTGCTCCATTGAAAATCCTGTTCCCGCTTTGGTTTGGCTTTGGTTCCATTCAAACGGAGCCAAACCATTAAAGACTGATAGTCCCACTGATTAGGTTGTTTACGACGTGTGAAATACCAATTCGGACCTATATATTTTGGTTTTGATTTATTTTAGTTCAGTTTGGTCCGCATCATTTGAGATGCTATTTTGAGATATCGCACTTTTGATGTCACTAATATGTGAGAATTTGTTACTGTGCAGCCGAGTCTGTGGGAACCCCCATGGGTTGATCAGGAAATATGGCCTGATGTGCTGCAGGCAGTGCTTCCGTAGCAATGCAAAGGAAATTGGGTTCATCAAGGTATGCTCATACTGGGGATGTTGGTGGTTATATTGAGGTGTAATTTTGTGAATCATCTGATCTGCATGGTTTGGTCTTTCTGGTATTTCTCTATTGTGTGAGAACAGTCCAGTTGATTGGATTGTGCGGATCTTTCTGACGTGTATATGATTGATTTATTTTCAGTATCGCTGAAGTTTGATCGCATCAGAGGGGGTAATTTAGGTACAATCTGAGTTATGGTTAGGAGGAGCTGCTGGCTTTTTGATTGTGTCCATTTGGAGTAATTTCCCCTTTTTTTTTTCCAAGTGTTTACGAGATTTAGTTTATTCAGCATGTTAGACTGGCCAAAGTTTCTCCCAAACAAATTATTTGATGAATAGTCAAGTTCCTTTTACTCTGCTTTTATGAAGTATAGATAGGCTTATTATTATTTATAGCAATTCAGATTTGAGCACAGTGACAGTATGTTAGAAACAGGATTTCTCACTGCTCGAGAGAGAGAGAAGACAAGGGCGCGGGGACTAGTCCTTCAAGCTCAATGGAACCCACCTTATCTCTGGATCTGTTTCATCTCCTGTTTCTTTCCATCCACCTCTCTCTTCAATTATTCTGTTCGCCTGATCAGTTGATCCTGGCTTCGATTTCTCAAGCCATACTCGTGAAGTAATCTCTCACGCCCAATCAATACTTATTTTGAGATTAAAATTCGATGGGAATCAAGTGTGATCGTGTTGACTTGTCGATAAGAAGATATGCACGGTTTGGATTGTGAAAGTAAAACAAGATAAAAGCATGGAAAGTTAACCGGTAAAATGAAGCCGAAATATCTAGAATTTAAAATGGCGGCAACGGGTGGAATTAAAATTATGTAGAATGTGCAGGTCTCGCTACTGCCATAAAAGGAACAACTTCTGAGGTGCATGAATTGGAAACTTGGGACGGATCAGGGGGAAACATTGAGCGATGTTTAATTTGGGGCTCGCGAAGCGAAGAAAGCTAAGAAAAATAACTAGGCCGCGATTTGAGATTTTACTACACGTTGTACTTAATATAGAAACTTGTTTGATTTTTATCTGGTTCTAAATATAAGACTTTAATTCATTTTATCTCTTATATTTATATATTTTTTGTTTAAGACAATCCTTCTAACAATGATGATTCTAGCCAATACACTTTATTAGTAAGGATATTTTAGAAAAGACAATATCTATTTATTACAAATAATTAACTTAATTTATTTCTTTAATTTTTTTAAATTAGTTAACTTATTTTTATAATTAGAATCGGAAGTAGTAGTGTTTTACATTATTTTTTTGGTGGGAGGTTCAGCAACAGGGCAAAGTCGTTTTCTGCTTTCCAGTCACTCTGTCATTTGGACACGTAACTTTATTTGGTATTTGTTGTTTTCACCCACTTCCCAGTTCCCACCTTGTGTTTAAATTTTTGCTTGTTTTGGACGTGTTTGCGCCCATAACTGTACGCTATCAATAATTGTTTCTCCAATCTACATGCAATATCTGTATTTGTAGATATCATATTATATTGAATTTTAGTGCAATGAATAAAAATAATATTAATTTGGCGACAAAAATAAAAATAATATTAAATATTACTAAAATTTTATAATGAATTTAATATTTTTAGCTATTTCTATTCATACGTTGAATTAGTTAAAAATAATTGATAGAGTATATAAATTATTTATTTGTTCTAAGAAGAGTTTAATACATAAAGGTCGAAGAAAAGTGTTTAATATAATATATTACTCCAGTTTTAAATATAAGATCTAATTAACTAATTTGAGTAGATTAATAATATTAGTTAAGTTAGTTAACATGATTTTTTTTAAACATCCTAAGCACTTTTTTAATTTCTTTCTTTTCTTTTCTATTTGATTATTGTTAGAAGAATATCAATAAGTTAATTTTTAAAAAAATTATAAACATATAAAATAAGTATTATATATAGGATTAATATTAATTTTTTAATTAGTTTTTATATTAAGGCGTGGAGGAGTAACATCGGGGGAGGGTAAAGGGGGGTAAACTGGGAAAACAAAGCAATGATTGAACGGATGGGGAGGAAGCGGAGAAAGAAGATGCGTTGGGTTGAAGCGGAAGAGGGGGTAAAAGGATAAAAAAGGACAAAGAAAGAGAAATGGCTCGTGAACGAAGAATAAAGCTCCCCGAAGCCTTGTGTGTAGTGTGAGAAAGGGAGAGCGCGCATAATGCCATGATAACCTTAAATCTCTCGCCTTCCTTTTTGTTTGAACTCCGAAAAGTAATCATGATGACCTCCAGCCTGCGTCGCCTTCTCCGCCGCCATCACTGCTTCTCCCCGTCAACCAAAACGACATGGCTTTTGCCTTCCCGGGCAGCTTGGACATGTCACCTGCACATCAAGCAGCGCCCCCACCCATCGCCTCCTCCTCTCACCACCTTCCTCACTCCTCAACCCTAGCTAGCTCCCATCTTCTCTTCCATCCATGTCCTCCTGGGGAATCAAGCGTCCTGGTCCGATCATATAATACATTCTTCTTCTAGCTACTTTCTGTTTTCTTCCTTTTGTAAGCCAGCTTGTCCGTTACTGATGCTATATCTCCAATGAAATCTGGGTGTCTTAATTTCTTTCTTGTGTGATTCTGTCTCTGTCTACTAGCTATCAGAGAGAGCCTCCTTTGAGCCACTCGACTGTTGTGTTTTTTTCACCAGCTTGTCTGTATCTGAACTTTTAATATGGATATTTCTGTGCTGCTCATGTACACATCTCATCCAAGTTTTGTGCCTTTTTACATATGTATCGAAATATATAGTTGATTTGTGAGAATTCAGAAGCTAATATATATATATATATATATATATATGTGTGGCTAGTTCTACTTCTGCCTTAATTACTTACGCTGTTTTGCTTCGACTTGAAATGATTCTCCGGAAATTAATTACTTCTCAGGAGAGATAACAAGGAGTGAGTATGTATGGGTATCATCTATTTGTGTGTGTGTAGCCACAGCAAACTTTGCTTTTATTAATTCCCTTGGCTCTTCAATTCTACACACACTGGATCAATATGAATAATATCTCATTAGAAGGATATGTGTTTTGAAAACCCAGACCCCAGCGGAGTTCGAATTTCTTATTTTGATTATATGCACTGATCTCCTTTTTTTAACTGGGGCTTATTAGGCGCACATATATATTAGTTACTAAGATGAGCATCTAAACTGGTCCTGCATGCCAAATTATGACCATCAATTTACTATCACTCGTAATATTCTCTCTGGTTTTTTTTTTTTTGTTAAGCGTTGGAGCTGAATAATGAATGTGCAGAAATTAAAAATATTGTTGTCCAAATACATCCTCAGAGCGTTAGGACGATTAGGTGCAGCTTTTTCCGCATGGCGCGAAGACCAAAAGGTTGTCATCATCGATATATTGAAAGGACAGTTACGTGATTAACTTCCCCTCTTATATTTGTCAATGTTCAAATTTGGAACAGTTCTATGAAGCCCTAATACCGACTATTTACATAAATATGCAACCGGGGCATTCCCTTTCTTCATATTTTTCCAACAACCATTGATTTCGTAAATAGTGCACCTAATATTTTGAACTTATCATGAAACACAGCACCCTGTTTGACTGACATTAGTATAAAAGCTTGTTTGGCAATTCGGTGGCAGTGCATTTTGTTTGAGTAACATAAAATAGTTGAATATTATTTGTAGTCGTATCACGTTATATTATTAAATATTAATAATTACCGAAGCCCTTGTAAATAAACTTTGATTTTTGACTAAATGGTAAGTAATTAGTATGTCTTTTGGATAAAAAATAGAAAAAAGGGGGGGAAAAAAACTACAAAATCCCAAATCAGAAATTCTCACAAAAAATATGTTGTTATTTGTTAACTGTTGTCAGGACTTATTAAAATATTAGAATTGTTAAAGACAAAAGTCAATCTCAGTCCAATATTTTTGGCCATATGTTAGAATGGGCACAATGTACGCAAGGATCCTTAAGGTCTCTTTTAATATGAAGTATTAAAAATGAAAGGTAAGGATTAAGATTGAGATTAGAAAAAAAAAACCATCAAAAAGCATTTAATATGAGTAATTTCTTGTTATGCTGGATTAGGCATTGCATGCAAGTGGGATTGGGAAATACCACCTCCCTTTATAGTATTCTCGAATCCTACATATATGAGTTTGACTAATCCTAAATAATAAGTAATTTTTCATATTAAACACTATTTAACATATTTTTCTAATTGCAACTATAATATTTATTTTTTATTTTTAGTGCTTCGTACTAAACAGGACCTAAGTATTTTGATTTGAACGTATCAAATAAACCACAGCACTGGGGCAACCGGAGAGAAGGACACTAAAGACTTGGGCTTATGGCTTACCAATGGCATAACCATTTATTTTATGGCCCGTTGCCTCTTTCTCCCATTTGTAAGTCAGTCAGTTTAGTTTATGCGGCCTGGCCTGCCAATTTAAAGCTGGTTTATCAGGGAGTTCACGGACGTAATTTCGCAACAGACCTGTTCTCTAATTTATTGTCAAAAATTTGATGCCGAAACCTTTCGCAAAATTGAGAACACAGTTTCTGGCAGTTGAATTGCTGCAAAATGAACAGAATCTACCAAGTCGATCGAAGCACGGTTAAACTACAGGAAATGATTGGTGCCACAGAACTGTAAACTTCAAAATTTCCTTAAACTTGCTCTGTAAGCCTGGAAAACACTTACTGCCATATATATATATACTCGTCTAATCCTAAATATAAGACTCTTATAGTAATGTGTATAAAGGTCTTATATTTAGGACCAGAGGAGTATATTAAAACAAAACCGAAGGCAAAGAAGAATTCAATATATATTGAGTTCTATGAACGTAATTATTAGCATTCCAAACATATGTTGAATGCATTTTGAAAAGGAATTGTTATTCCCTGCCATCAAATTGTACAATAATGACTAAGCACCTATGGTAGACATCACATCCGATAAGCACATACAATACAAGTATGATCTTACTGCGTCCTCAGAAGATTTTAACAAACGGAGTACTAGAAGATGAGGTGCTTTGTGCCCTGCCTTGGGAACATTGCTGTCCATTAGTTCTCCAAGGCAGAGCAGCCAAGAATCGATCCTTCCAACTCCCATTTGAAGGAGCTTCAGGTGATGACAAAGAAGAAGAGGTTCCTCCTTTACATGCGTGGTCCGCAGGAAAGCGATGCCTGAGGCACACCTTCAGGTGGCAATTTTTACAAGTGCAGGTATTAGAAAACGTCAAAACCTCCTTGCATCTTCTTACAGAACAAGTGGGCTTCTTCTTCTTGCTGGGGTCACACATTCCAGATCTGTCATGCTTCTGCAATATAGCCTTCTCGTCGTCTTCATTATAACCAGTGGTCTCAATTGACATGGAACATGTTGGACAAACCACAACCTTCCTGCTCCGATGGTGTGATTTAGGGCAATTGTGGGACTTGTAAGATCTATGTTCCAAACAGAAAACCTGCGATTAAAAAAGGGAGGAAAATGTGAGGACGCCGAGAATTGAAGGGATGGAAATTAAGGGAGGGATTTTTCTTGGAGGGAAACCTGAGAGCAAGCGTCGCATGTGAAAGGGAGAAAATCGAGTTGATTGCAATCAACGTGATGGCAGTGTGATCCCAAATCCGGGAAGGCTTCGGTTCCACCTGCCATGGCAGGTTGATTGCTTCGAGGACGAATGAGTTATGAGAGGGGGGATGAAAGGAAGGCGTTCGTATCATTTATATGTTTGGGGAAGGGCTTGGGGCCTAAGGCATGTCCAGGCTGGCCAAGGCGCGTCAATGCAACCTTCAATCCTCCATGAATTTCTCTGTTTGGTTGAGACTTCAGAGATCAGTTTATCATTTTATCCATTCTCTTCCATCTTTTATATTTTTTCTAAATTTTTTGCCAACATATTTTTTCAGATTAAAACAATAAAACATGATAAATAAACATTTTTTAAATAATAAAGTGATTGATATATTTTTTAAAAATTTACAATAAAAAATTGATTAATTTTATGTTAATGCTTCCATTAACATGGGCCTTCTAGATTCCCCATACTTTTTATGTTTTCTTTTAAGTATCACTAGTTTTTTTGGGCTAATTATTAATTTCTTAATTAAAATATTAATTTAGATTAAGTTCCTTTAAATGCGGGCGTGCAAGTATGCAGGAGGCATAAAGTAAGGGATAGACGTTAAAAAAAATAGCAAGAGAAGAAAAGTGATCTGTCGATAAATTGAAAGAATATAAAAGTGAGAAAGACATAAATTTTTAAAAAAAAAAAAACTGGAGATAATGAATTATTTCTATTAAAGTAAATTACAATGACACATACCTGTGCATTAGAGGTAATTGATTGTTTGGATTTTGGGAGGCAAACAGAGATGCTTTTATTTTCGGGTCACAGGGAAGGCTGGGTCTTCAACCTCATTTGGGCAACCATAAGGAATCTTCTTTCCCGCCCTCACTTTAACCGGCTTCTTTGCCCTGTGAATTAAGGAGAAATGAAGGCCGCATCGTTGGGAAGTCCAAATGATTGATAAAAAGTTGCATATAATGATATAGGAGGTGTTTGAGAAGCTGTAAAAATACTTCTCAAAAGTATTTTTTTACAAGTCAAGATAAAATTACTTCTAAAACCATAATTTTATTTTCGTCCAAACACCCCCATAATCCAACTTGCTTGTTGCAGTTTAAAGAATCACAAATAGATATCAATAACAGAGGGTCCTATTAAATATTGTTCCCTCGACAAGCACAGGACAGCTGATGCTTTATTTTTGGGTTAAACTATTTTTAAAAGGAGCATCCAATGTCAGCGTCTCTTTTAAGCAGGGCAGTGTTGTCCTTATCGTTAAAATATATTTTTTTAAACTGTTTTATTTTTTATATTTAATTTGGATACCGCCCATTTGGGAACTTGAGATTATAAATTTACTTAAAGCAATGAGACGAGAAGACAACTGAAAAATGAATCGTGGGGCATCAAGACTCATAAAAGAAAAAGAAGCATCACCCTGACATGGGCGCTTGCCCTGGGGATTATCAAAAGGGTCTCAAGATTCCTAACCCGCCATCACAAAATTCCACTCTAACTCACCATTCTGACCTTCAACAAAACTCATCACGGATCATGCACCAATTAGTATTACACCTACATTGCTCTTACCGGCAAACAAGACAGGAAAAAGAAGCGATTAATTAACATCATGCGTAATGACTACACAGACCTTCGTTTGATTCATGCGTGAGCTTTGAAAACCAGCTCTTTACAAACACCAATTCTCAGACGCCCAAAGCGGTGAAGTTCAACCTACTCGCAATCGCACAGGCAGTATATTCTCAAACCAAAATTCGGATTACTAAATTTTCTCCATCGTCTTGTTCCCATCATTTAGGCGCAGTTACTCGTCTCAGTATGAAGATTTAATATATACGGTGGTTTGCATCAATCACGCAGAATCATTGACAGTCAACCCAAATCCCAACTTTTAGGATCCACACGAGCAGGGAAAAGAGGGCTTTATTGGACTTCATGACAGTTGGAGATGATCGAAAAGCATTTAAAGACCAACAGCTTAAACCGGCTCACACTAAGTAACTACGTATGTGGATGTATAATTGATCCTTCTAGAAATATCAACTTCACAGATAGATATATGAATGAGAACATAATTATCACCGTCTGACGCTCGCAACCAAGAATTAATTTCGAAACTAACAATATTACTCTCCCCGCATACCCATGGCTTCAACTCAAACATCAGTTCACTTGATCGCATCTTCGCCTGATCTCTCCTTTCCGTCCGGTCTTCACTCCCAAGAGACTCAGTTTCTGCATTGCCTGTCCAAACGCCTGAAGGAACTTGTTCTCGTCCGCTGCGAACTGTTCCACAAACGGCCGCGTTCTCGGGTCGTTGTACAGCCCGTGATCCGATTTCAAAACCCCCAGGCCCTTTGGGAGGTTCTGGAAGTACATATTATCGAACTTATTGGGGGTCATTATGTCATTGAACACAGATAACGTGGGATTCTTCTTGTAATCTGAGCATGCCTGCTGCAACCCCTGCGCGAATCGAGGGTTGTAGTTAGGATCGTAAAGGGAAGAGGTGCTGTAGTTGTAGATATCTCTGCTGATTTCGCTGCAATGGGAGAATCCAATGGTGTGGGCTCCGCTCAGGGCCACCATTTCTTGGACGGAGAATCCTCTGGAGGAGAAGATCTCGATGATCTGCGACATTGGCATGGTTGGTCTGGGGAGATTGCCCTCGATAGTGGAAGCCATGGAAACGCGGCCGTCCCTGCGACCAAGGTAGACATTGTAGTAGGGGCCGCCGAGCATGGTAACGAGGTCGCGAGTGGCGACGGCGAGGATGTCGGCGCAGGAGACAGTGTTGGGGCAAGCGAGCTCGAGAGCGGTCTTGGCGCGGACAATGACATCGAAGCCGTCGCCGGGGAGGGAGAGGTTGATGTCGGCGTCGCGCTCAGCCCTGTTGAAGGGAGTGGAGGAGATGAGGACGGAGGCGTCACAGCCGTTGGGGAGGCAGTCGTGAAGGAAGAGGCGGAGGGTGGCGCCGGCGGTGGTGGGGCTGGTGATCTGCTTGTTGGTAATGGTATCCTGGATGATGTGAGGGAACTGGGGGCAGGATTTGCTGTAATAGTCCAAGGAGAGTTTGGAGTGGGAGGGAAGAAGAAGTAAAGAGAGAGAAGCGAGGAATAAAAAGAGAATGGAGGCGGCCATAGGGGGAGGTAACAGGAGTGACAGAAGAGGAAGCTCCCAAGAAGTAATGGGGGAAGGAGGGTGGAGAGGAGGAAAATAATTAGCTGGGGCAGGGGAGGGGGAAACGCGCTCTCTGGCCTCTGCAAAGCATTCTCAATGCTCATTAGCTGGATATCGGCGCATTTTTCCAAAATCAATCAATGTCATCCATGTAAATAAACAATATGGCAGCTGGTCACCCCAAAAAAAAAAAAAAACAATAGGGCAACTCCAAAGAGTACCAAAGTTCGGCCCCTGCATATCTCTGCCCACATTTTAGGCTTTTACTCTGAACCAACGCCCCTTGACACCGCCTTTGCGGCAAAAAAAAAAAAAAAAAAGGTCGCTCAATGCTAGTACGCCCGGCATACTTTTTATATGACCTAAGAAATTGTAAATAAATATTTGGCCTGAAGAACTTTAAAATAAATTATCATATTCATGATTACATCTCAAGACCCATATATATGTGGTGTCAAAACTGAACTAAGTGCCGGGTTGCATTGATTTTAAAAGAAATATTTTCGTTGTAAAATATTTATAAGATGAGTTTTATCTTATGAGGCGCAAAAATACTTTTCTAATAGATCCCATTATTATAGTTTTTATAATAAGATGTAATTTTCCTTTTTCTTTTTTTCTTTTTTAAATCAATTTACATTGATTTATTTTTTCAGTGGTTTTATAGAAAATTCGTTCGAGTTATTGATCATGAAACTATGAGCCCATTTTTTACTGTATCCATGACAAGGTTGACGTTTCCATGTTGCCATTGAGCATTACATTAACGCCTGTGAGATTAATGTATAAGCTGCTTAGTTACTTTTATATTTCCATATATCAATTTCTATTTGAAAAATAAAAATACTGAAAAAATAAAAGTTGTTTGGATTTGCCCAAGAAGTTACTAAGAAAGTGTAAGGTTCGGGCTTCCGAAAGCTAAGTATCATTTTCCTACGGATTAAAAATGCCCTTCACTATTTTATAAGAAGTTCAATTTTTTGTCTTTTACCCTGGATTATCCAACATGAAAATTAAACAAGGAAAGTAAGATATGAAGTCATATTAAGAAATATACATGTTTAAGACATTAAAATTGTTTTGCATAAATTAGGGAATTTATGGATCCGTGATTTTGAAATTTTCAAATATTTTTTTTTTTCAAAAAATAGAGAGAGAGAATGAGGCAGAGGGGGCACAGGACAGCACATGGATTTACAATCACTGTACAGAAAAGAAAAGGGAATGAAGGATGAATTCGTAGGGGGGAGCACTGATCACGGGGGACGCGGTTTTCGGTGCTGGAGTTCCGCGGGCGGTGGGTCTCTCCTCTGTACCCATTCTTGCCCACTTCACACCAATATGATTCATGCCTAATGCCTAAATTAAATTACATCCTATTTTTAATTTAATTCACTTTTACTATATTTAATATCTCCCATTTGACGCGCCCTTTTTATTTTACATCTAATCGCACAACAAAAATAATTACATCTTAATTTTTTTTAATAAAACATGATTGAAAACTCTTTTTACCAGAAGTGTGACCAATGTAATAAGTGCAAGGTATGATCCGAGAAAATTTTGGACCTGTTTATTCATGGGAGATGGGATGTCGGAGTGGAAAAGCATAGCTTTTGTAAAAACCATGACAAAATGTACAAAATTTAAAAGAGGATGATAATTTTTTTCACACACACATATATAGGCGTACGATGAATGTGACGGAATTAAGAGGGTGACATGAATCATGATGAGAGTGGGTTCCATTATGGTTCTGCTGGGCTTATTATGTTTCAGTTATCACCAACGTTAGTGAATAGCAATAACTAAGGTACGTGTTTTTTTAATAATAATAATAATACATCTGTCAAAAAGCTATTGAAGAGAGTTGCTTCTGCCAAAATTAGAGGGGTTTTATTTTTGACAAACGTGATCCTAAATACATCCTACCCCTCTCTGCATGCATCAATAATTTCTTGAATAGCCAATCCTCAAATCATTCTCCTTCCAGCATCCTAACTGCCATTCTTCCTTTGATCACTTCATATCATATATCACATTCTATAATAATAACACTTTGTTATAGATAAACTTGAATATATTAAATTACAAGGTCCACATATAAAACGATTCTACATTTTTTTTTTGGGCCTTGGGCTTTCTGGATCCATGATTCACAGCAGACAACCCCCCCCCCCCCCCAAAAAATGAAGAGCATAGGGTTTTCTCCTGCCCTCGGACTGTCACTGATGTTCTTAGCTTCTATGCTGTCACAATTGCCATTAACCGTGGAGCCCATGAACACATCTTTTTGCACCGTCTTCGCATTCTCTACTATTAATCACTGACTCCTTGCTTTAACCTTCAACAAAGACGCCGCCCTCCTATACTTTCTTCTCTATATAGCATACCAAAATAATTTTGGTCGGGGTATGGAATTATTCAATCAAAGCAGACAATGACACACATCCACACACAGGAAGATCCCTCAGTCTAACATACCATAAATATCACCTTAAAACCACCGGAAGAAATAAGGAATACGACATAAGTTCAAAGTGGAATGAGGTGAGCGATCCCAGTTGATTTTGAAGCCGGTTACTCAAGGGAGAAATCGTATTCACCCTTCTCATACGCAGCATGTTTCTTCATGAAGTTGGCCAGTCGGGAGTCATATGAAGCTCCCTTGAATGTTTTGTAATCTTTCCACCAGCGCATATAGCTGCTATCCTCCAAGAAAATCTCCGGCGACACTGTATAATTCTTCAGCAACCCATACACATACTCCTCAAACTCCTCCAACCTCTTCATCGCCTCTTCCTTCTCTGCCACACTGGACCCTGCAGCCTTGCATTTTCGCAGCGAAATGAGAGCTTCTTCCACGTGTGCCCAGAAGCACGAATCCATCGTCAATATAGATTGCACATTCTTTCTATTTATCGACTCTGCTTTCTTATCTTCTTCCTTCCACTTCTGTAGCTGTTTGTAATGCTCTGATCTTCCTTTGTTTATGTAGTCTTCTCCTCCCTCCTTGTAGTACTTGGCTATGTCCAATGGTTCCACCATTCTCCTGTAATTAGTCCCAGCATAGAGCCATCGGGTACGAAAAACTCCAACTTCTTTCTGGGGCTTCTTCTCTACCTCTTCAACCATATCTTTCCAGTAATTGTTGAGGATCTTGACGAACATGAGAACGTCCTGGTCCCTTGGAAACCAATCGTTCTTGTAACTGTCATAGTACCCTGTTCTCCGATTCTTGGAAATTTTCTTGTACCACTCCAGTTGGGCCATATACGTTTTCATTTCATCCAGCCTCTTGTCAGGGATAAACCGTTTCCTCTTATTCAGAGTCAGCAGCAGCTCGTGCCTCTCCAAATCTTTCACCAGATCGTTCTGACACATCCAATTTGACAAAGAAACACCCGGTTAGATTCAAACTGGATTTTTTTTTTTGAATGATAATTGGAAAACACGTAACAATTACAAGAGTACAACCCAAACTAACATGCCTTACTCTCCTTGATCACCATCCGCCTCAGAAACAGTGGGAGGAGGGCAATCAAAGAGGCAAAATTGCCATCAAAAACTGGATTTTCTTTACATCATTCTTTCATTCAGTTTATCTCACTTTTTAATATTCAAGTCCAGTATTTTTTCTCAAGAAAGAAAAGAGATAAGATCTTCTAAAAGTGCACGATACATTATATTTCCAGTACAGATTCGGGTTGCGATACCTGCGACAAATGTGAGTTTGAAAATCCCAAAGCCTGCAACTGCGAAGCGAGGCTCGCCTGTAGTAAATTTTGAGCCATGTTGGGAACATCAGAGTCCTTGCAAATCGCCTTACTACTGAGCCTCTCCACAATATTTCCATATCCTGGGATTTGCGGTCCTTGATTCTGGGTACTCATTTCCTTCAGAAGCCTCGAAATAGAATCGGGGTTCTCAGAACAAGTAGAACCGCAATCAGAACACAAGAGGAATGTTCCGAAGGGCCTGTACGAATCGTTGGAAATGAAGGAGGAATCCAGTGGGTCACGGTGAGAGGCTACATGCAGAAAGCAAGAGTTCCAACTGCTGCTTCGTGATATGGCTTCTTGCAGGTGTTTGTCTCCGATAAGTGGAGAACCAAAGGTGATGCAGAGTGGACGCTTGTCCGATAAACCCATCTTCTCTATCAGCCACAGAGTGAAAAGAGAAGCAACTGATCCTCCAACACCAAGCCCAGTGACAATCACCGGTTTCTCGAGATCGATCTGCATTCAGCAAAAACCCAGACACCTAACTATCAATCTCAGTAGTCACTTTTGCTCGAGTTCGGCATCGTTTTATTTGTTTGACTAGTTCAGTTGTCTAGTATGAAAGTCAACGCGCTGAAAAAAAATCTTCATAACTCCTCAGGGATCCACGGGCTATTGACGAAATGAAGGAGAAGTACGTACCTCTGATTTTAGTTGACCAAGACTCGGTCGATGATCATTGAAGAGGGACATTGCGGGTTGATTAAGCGAGAAGTAGGGGTTTTTCTTGGAACAGAGAAATTCGAAGGGGTTATCCATCATGTCCGAAGAGCAAAGCAAATCAGGTCCGACACGGTTTTGGGCAGTCCCAAACGCTATAATCGTCGAATCTGATTCATTGCTACGCTTTTTCCAGAATAGATTCTCGTTTGGATGGGTTTCTGCGTTCAGGTCGGCGATAAGATTCCATGGAGCGGAGAGAAGACCAGAGCTGGCCACAAACGATGCAGTCTCAAATCCGCTGCTAAATCTGCAACCGAAAGACAAGAAAGAGTAAGAAGCAGAAGTGATTCTTGAGAATAAAAATGAATCAAAAAGCTCATATTCACATACAATTGAGTTGTGCCTTGCGTCATCCTCAATCTTCAGTAATGTTCAAGAGCAATTCGCAAGAGACGACTACTCAGCTGTCCGAGATGACGATATATAATCAGCTAACAACTGCACACGAAATTTCCTGGAAGACGCGCAGAAATGAAGTGCAAGATTCGGTGACTTTCCAAGTCAATACGCGCCTCAAAGTCGTCGAAGGCAATTTTTTTTTTTTTTAACCCAATTGAGATGGGGATAAACAAACAAAAAGCGAATACCAGGATCCTTGGGGCAGGCAGACATGGCAAACTCTCGAAAGACTCTTGTTCTCGTTGCCGGATTCGGTCCACTGTTTACAAGCAACGCCAGTTATGTCCTGTGATGTTTTATTTATAATTTGCCTGGGTGTTGTTCGTTAACGAAATAAATTCCATAATAGTTCGGTAGGCGTTGGTAATCCTCTAGAAAAGGAATATAAAGTCATTTTTGGAAAGAATTCAAGGCTGCAAAATTACGCGTGATTTCCCAATCTTCCGCTAATAACTTCTTTAAGGAGAGGCAACTGTTTCTTGTCATGTATTGTCATGAATTCTAAGTTTCAAATAACTAATTTATGAATAACAAATAATTAGTTAAAAATTATAAATAGGTTAGAAATATATTTTTATTTTTAAATATATTCTTGTAATAAATGAGAAAAAAATAAAAGAGGATATATAGAAAAAGTGATAAGAGAAAAATAATTAAAAGTAACATTAAAAAATACATTAAATATTAAGACAAATTCAAATTAAAACTTATAGAATAAATCACGTACTTTTATGAATTTGAAGGTTATAAATAGAATTACATGGAGTATAATTCACATGCTCCTACATGAGCATGTTACCATGTAAAAAGTTGGCCCAACAAAAAAAAAGTTACCATGTGAAAAGAATTAAGTTTCCTTCCACAACTGCAAGAAACCGAGAGTCAGATACATAAAAGTGAAAAAGTGTCTGTATAGTCAACAGTTATAGTGGATACAATTTTTTTTTTTTTTTACTTTCTTATATCTTCTACATATGTCTCGCTGAATTGACTTACTATAATAAATCAAGCTAGGTTTTTATGAAAAATGTAAAATTTTCATTTCCACCCTCCTCTCTGGCAAGGATAACTACATGAACTGGGCCTTCTTGACTACTTCACGCCAGGAAGCAGCATAAACTACTGAATCAAAGCTTTCCCCTTTCTACCAAAAGAAAAAGCCTTTCCCTTTCTTCACCCTTTTTCTTTTGGGCCACCATGCAACATTTCAGGCTCCAAAAAACTTCATGCCCCGAATGTTCCAACCCATTGATCCAGTGTTCTCGGACTATCATTTTTGTTCAATAATAGAAAAAGAAGCTTCATTATTTATATCAGCTGTAATTATTTCATTGAACACGCTGCATTATTAAGTTGCACAATTTTTTCCCAGAAAGGAAACTAGACTTCCAAAGGAATCTCACATGGATGTGGCAGAGCAGAGAAATGTTCCCGATGCTTCTCAAAGTCAACAACTCCACAAAAACGGAGAATTGTGGGAGATAAGGGAAGTTTCCAAGCAGAGTAATAAATTAAATTGGCCTCGAAAAATCTAGTGTTTCTGGACGATATCTGGGAACAATGGGGATATGGACAACACAGGGAGTGTTGACCTTAAATAATACAGTACAGCCGGTAAAGAACCTGGTGCTTTCTCAGTCTGAGTTATTGAAGGCGAAGAAAAACACTGGAAAAATCATTAATAATGAGGTACAACATAGCATATAGTTGAAAAGGGAAGAGCTCAGGAAATTATGGAATGTAAAATAAAACTAAGGGCACTTGGGTCTGTCGCCGTGGGTGAGCATATCAGTGTAACACTTGCCACAGACTTCACGGTTGCCGAAAGTACCAGGTGGGACACATTTGCAGCGTTCACAGCATGTCGTGCATGCTCTCATACAAACTCTTTTCCTCGAGTGCAGTTGGCATCTATACTCACAAAGCGGCACGCAGTCTGCCCATGAACCAGTTTCAATAATTATCATATCAATTTACGTACTTGCACACACTCACAACTAATAATATCAACCATTGCCCATGGCTTCATGCGTATGTTTGTGTGTGTGTGTTTTTCGGCTACTGGTATTTACCCTTGTTTGATTTGACTATCGGAGCTGCAGGTGGAGCTGGTGCGACCGGTGGTTTTACCGGTGATGGTGGAACTGGGGCCTTATCCGGCGCCGGAGGACTTGGATATGGGGTCTTTACGACTGGAGGAGGAGGAGTTACTGGCTTCACTGGTGGCGGAGGGGCATGCGCCACCACAGGTGGGGCATTTGGTGGTGGTGACAGGGGGGATTTCACGTAGTTCATCTGTAGATCAAATAACATCATGTTTTTCTATTATACATATATTATATACATCTCAATTATAAAGATATTGGTAGCTGATACACTCTTCCAGGGATCTGATTAGTTTTCCATTCTCCAATTTTCATCAGTTACACGCATAGAATCCACTCTCTCTCTGTTTGATTTAGCTAAAATTAAAGAGTGAGCACTCAAAGCTGTTTAAGATGTGTGGCGAAAATTTAGTCTTGGGAAAGCCAAAGCAAACCAACAAAAAGTGAATCATATACCTTTACCTTAACTTCGCCATCATGTGAATGAACCTGCAGAGAGAGAAAGGAGGGAAGATTGCCAAAGTTAGTGCACTTAAAGCAGTCCCACACCATCACTTGTTACAAAAATCTGTTTCTGGGAGAGTGAAGCATATACCTCTGTTGCGACCACAAGGAAAAGGGCCAGCAGAAGAATGGCAGATTTGGAAGCCATTGTTGTGCAGAAGAAGCCAAGAGTATAGGCAGTGAGTGTTGATCGAAGAGTCAAGTGCCAGTTACAGCAGCTTATATAGAGAGGGAGGATAAAGAGATATAATTTTCAAAGCATATTAAAATTTGGCTGCACAGAGTCAGCAAGCTATATTTTAGAGTGTGTCGCTGTCCCCAAAGCTGAGAGATAGGGTGTGAACCCACATGCTTGTGCTGAACTAGAATATACATGCATATATATCATCAAAGTGTGCGTCCGCCAGCAATGAATGGTGCTACACTCGAAGCATGTTCATATGAATGAACTTGAACTAATAATTAACACACGCTTCTCCACAGATGAGATCTCATCACTTCTCACCTAATCATCTCCATATATGACGAATTTTGCAGTCAGGTTACTGTATTAAAATGGACCGTTTTATTGCATACCCTCCTGTTCTTAATCATTCATGTCATCTCAGAGACTTGGAGATCGAGTAACACAAACACTGACTCGCAGCAAGTATTGCACATGGGGCAAATATGGGAAGCACGTGGGCCAAATACTGGCTGGCACCGAAGCTTTCCTTCCTAGTCAACTTGAAGGAGGAGGAAAACATGTCTGTAACACAGCTAATAATGTTGTTGTGGGCAAAGCTAAGGTTTTTGGTATCTGTGCGAGTTTGTAAGTTCATGATTAAAGCTGAAAAGCATAGGAAAGAGCAAAGTAGACAGAAGGACTGCACAACGCACAAGGCCTGGGCTGGTTCCAATGAGCTTCTCCGTCGATTCCAGACTTGAACCAGAAGATATGCCTTCGTCGCCACTGATTGAGTAGTTATTATATGATTGAGGTAGACGTTTAAATATTAATATCTTGATATGGTCCCTTTTTTATTGATCACCGAAATTAATCTTGTTCAAATTAAAGCATTTTATTCTGAAGTTTTTAAAATTTTGAAATAAATATAATGTATGACATTTATTTTCCCTCTTTTTCGAATTTATAAGATTTTAATGGAAAATATTATTTTTGCAGCCAATTCACATCGTAATCGGTGGAATTAGAATGTAGATGCCACGGTAACACGAATGTCCCTTCTCTATGTAGCAAAAAATTTGGTTAAATTGTGACTAATAATTTTTAACTATATTAGTTTAAGGTACTTTTACTATAATTTCTTAAAACTATTTTAAAAATTTCAAAGATTTCTGGCAGAAAATTATAATTATTGGAAAAGAAAATTCTTATTGTTAATCTAGAGAAGCCGTCGGTGATCCTCCCGATCTGACAGGGCCAAGCAGCGGGACTTTAATGACAACGCGACCTTTACCTGCGAAGTCTGCTTGTCATAAGTATTTATATGTAAATTAAGATAAAGTACTTTTTATATACTTATTTTGTATGGTATAAAATATTTAATTAATTTAGACAAAATTAGATAAATTCATTTTCTTTACCAGTACATAAATTCGTATGAATTTTTTTGGCCAAGTAAATTCATATGAATTGGCGTACTTTTTTTTATTTAAGAAAATTCTTTTTATTGGAGGTTTTACATATTTCTAGAAACATTAATTAATCATTATTTCAATAATCTTGATTACTCCAAGCATGTAGAAAGAGGCAGCACTACAAAAACTCTAATGAGGATGTGAATGTAATTATTTCTTAATTAATCGAAAAGGCGGATTTGTTCCCCTCGTTATTTTCCTTTTATACTTTTTTATGTAACAATAATTTTTTTATTGAGACATAATATATAAATAGAATAAAATGGATAGATTAAGAAAATCATTAAATTATCTCCGGTTAAAAAAAGAAAATTATTAAATTATAAACATAAAATAATAGTGAAGAATAATTAAATTGTGGGGAGGGGAGGGAGATGAATAATTGATAGATTTGGGGGGAAGAGCCTAGGATTCCAGAGGGTGGGCCAGGGCCAGCCCAGCAAGTCCCCATTCTATATAACTCGCCCTCACACAAAAAAAATGGCCTCTCTGAAATGTTTATTATTGCCTCACATCTTACCTACTCCGCCTCCTCTGCATCACTATTATTATTATTACTCCTCCTATCCTTAATATAAAACCTATTTAACTAATTTGATTAGATTAAGGAAGCTAGGTAAGTTAGTTAATCATAAGAAAAGTGACATATTTTTCCTAAAATACCATAATCATCTTTTTTAATATCCTCTCTCCCTCTTCTACTTGATTATGGTTGATGGAGTATCCATAGGGGTAATTTAGAGAAAAATGATAAATATGAAAAATGGGTCTTATATTTAGAACCAAAACCAACTCAAGAATTGGATCCTATATTAAGGAGCGGAGGAATATTATTTAGGATATTATTAGGTTGCCTATTCTATAATTGCAAAACGTGACCAACTTGGTCCCTTTTTTTTTGCCAGGGTGACAAACTTGGTCTCCGAGTTTGACTTTCCTTACAAAATCATAGTATCTCTAATCCTAATTATAAAACCTAATTAATTAATTTGAGGAGATTAAAAAAGTAAGTTGAGTTAATTATTTGTTTTGAATAGGTATTGTCTTTCCTAAAATATCTTTACTAATCAAGTGTATTGACTAGAACTATCATTGTTAGAAGGATTACTTTAGAAAAAAATGTATAAATATGAGACAAAGTGGATTGGGGTCTTATATTTAGGACCAAAATAAAAATCAAACAGAATCTTATATTAAAGATCGGAGATAGTACCTTATTAAGATGCATCTACCACTTGCCGTTCTATATTTTAAGAGAGACTAGTCTTTACCATGAACCAATAATATTTATGATATCTCAATAAAAGAAGAAAAACATTAGGTGAAGAAAAGATCTCAGGTCTGCGTGTATTGATAACAACAATTGTTGCGGGTCAATAAAGTTGGAGGAGACAACCCGGCCAGTCAGTTTACGGAATAAAGTGAGGGGCTGAGGTTTTAATTCATCAGACAAATAACCCAATTCTTTTTTTTAAAAGATAAAAAATAAAAGGGGCTGAGTGGCTAATCTTTTGAAGCTAATCTTTTGAAGACAGTGGTAAAGTGGACGATCGGGTGGAAATCACGTCAGAAAGATACCCAGATATAATTATAAGATATTATTTATAATCTATAAATAAACTTTTATAATTAGAATGGGAAGTAATAGGAATATCTAATCTAGCCATCAGCTGGCTTGTTTTCCAAGTCATTATGACCAAAATGATCAGAAAGCATTACTGCGGCTGATAAAGCCACAGGGGTCTTCCCGGATGCGGTGCTAAGAAGTTAAAGTCTACATATATATGACTCCCTTCGGTCTTATTTTTAAGTCTATACTAATTCATCCTTCGCACAGGACCTTTTATAAAACTTAATAAAGTATTCATAATATATTTTTAAAAATACTCTTATCTCTGTCACTCTTAGCTTCTCCATCTTCCCCGTCTCTCTCCCCCAGCTAACTCTACTAATAATTGAAGATTGTTCGAAAAGTTGTTAATTTTCTTTTACTACTTTTAACTAGATTTTTTAATCTCATACAAGTTTTACTTGGCAATAATGCGGCATACAGTATAAATCAAATCATATATGAAAACAAAGATAGATCTAATTCCATTATCATATGACTGATCGAAGTAAGGAGGCAATTGAAATGAAATCATTTAGCAGCTTCTATCATTACGAAGCAGAATCACATGACTGAGCTGCTCACTCAGCAAATCCATTTAATGACATAGCTATATAAAGTGGAGATTGTGATTGGCTTTAATCAAGGAATGAGCTCATGTTTTTATTCAGCAATTTTTGTGACGGCGCATATACCAAAAATTCAGACGGCTTCCTCATCACCATCCTCAAAAGCCACCCCCCTTAGACCATATTGTCTGTGTTTTCAAGGAGATTCTCTCCAAGGAGAAAGGTAGATAATATAAACGGCATTGTCTAGTAATGTTTTGTGTATTGACATCTCCTTCCTTGAAAAGATGTCATTTCGCTGTGTGTTAGTGGCCATGCTTCTTTTGATGTTTGATAACTCGATATGATAATATGATTGTAAGCCCTGTTTTAAAAATAAAATTTTAATTTATATCTGTCTATCCCCAGAAATAGGAGACAAGATGTTATAAATTGCAAGGTACTTTATTGGATATTCACATGATGAAATTCCAGAGCAATCTCAGTGATATGTGACCGTCATTGACGTTCCCATTAACAATGCGATGTCACAATTGCCGATGCTAGCCCGAAGCTTCCATATATAATACTTCTTGCCCCTTCTCTTTTGTATTTTCTACTATTACTTAAATCTGAGATGGTAATTTATTTTCAAACTGTCCTCAGAATGCCTCAATAAGGAAGCATGGCTACTCGTGGGAGAAATCATATTCACCCTTCTCATACATAGCATAATTCTTCATGAAGTTGGCGAGTTGGGAGCCATGTGAAGATCCCTTCAATCTGAAGTAGTCGTTCCACCAACGCATATAGCTACTCTCCTTCAAGAAAATCTCCGGCGACACTTTATAACTACGAAGCAGCCCATAAACATACTCCTCAAACTCCTCCAACCTCTTCATCGCCTCTTCCTTCTCTGCCACACTGGACCCTGCAGCCTTGCATTTTCGCAGAGAAATGAGAGCCTCTTCCACGTGCGCCCAGAAGCAAGAATCCACCGTCAATCTAGATTGCACATTCTTTCTATTTATCGGCTTTGCTTTCTTATCTTCTTCCTGCCACATCTGTAGCTGTTTGTAATGCTCTGATCTTCCTTTATTGACGTAGTCTCGTCCTCCCTTCTTGTAGTATTGAGCTATGTCCAATGGTTCCACCATTCTCCTGTAATTAGTCCCAGCATAGAGCCATCGGGTACGAGAAAATACACCTTCTTTCTGGGGCTGCTTCTCTCCCTCTTCTACCATATCTTTCCAGTAATTGTTGAGGATTTTGACGAGCATGACCACGTCCTGGTCACTTGGAAACCTATCGTTCTTGTAACTGTCATAGTATCCACTTTTACGATTCTCACAAGTTTTCTTGTACCATTCCAGTTGGGCCATATACGTTTTCATTTCATCCAACTTCTTGTGTGGGATAAACAGTTTCCTCTTATTCAGAGTGAACAGCAGCTCCTCCCTCTCCAAATCCTTCACCAGATTGTTCTGACACATCCAATTTGGGGGGCCAAAAAAAAAAAATTCCGGGTTAGAGTCAAACTGGATTTTCTTTACATCATTCTTTCATTCAGTCTGTCTCACTTCTTAATATTGAAGTCTAGTATATTTCCTCAAGAAAGAAAAGAGATACTACTTCCTGTATTTAATATAAGAACTTGATTTTTATTTTAGTCATAAATATAAGACTCTAACTCATTTTGTTTTTTATGTTTATCTATTTTTTCTCAATATAATTTTTATAATAATAGTAATTCTAATTACTAAATTTAATTAGTAAGAATATTTTATGAAAGACAATACATATTTATTATAAATAACTATTTAACTAATTTTTTTAATATAGTCAAATTAGTTGTTATACAGAAAAGAAGAACACAAGGTAGTAAGATCTTCTAGAAGTGCGTGGTGCATTATTTTTCCAGTATATATTCGGGTTGAGATACCTGCGACAAGTCTGACTTCAAAAATCCCAGCACCTGCACCTGCGAAGCGAGGCTCGCCCGTAGTAAATTTTGAGCGATGTTGGGAACATCAGAGTCCTTGCAAATTGCCTTACTACTGAGCCTCTCCACAATATTTCCATATCCTGGGATTTGCGGTCCTTGATTCTGGGTACTCATTTCCTTCAGAAGCCTCGAAATAGAATCGGGGTTCTCAGAACAAGTAGAACCGCAATCAGAACACAAGAGGAATGTTCCGAAGGGCCTGTACGAATCATTGGAAATGAAAGACGAAACCAGTGGGTCAAGGTGAGATGCTACATGCAGAAAGCAAGAGTTCCAAATGCCGCTACGCGATATGGCTTCTTGCAGGTGTTTGTCTCCGATAAGTGGAGAACCGAAGGTGACGCAGAGTGGAGGCTTGTACGATGAATCCATAGGCTTGTCCGATGAAACCATCTTCCCTATGAGCCACAGAGTGAAAAGAGAAGCAACTGATCCTCCAACACCATGCCCAGTGACAATCACCGGTTTCTGCAGATCGATCTGCATTCAGCAAAAACCCAGACACCCAACTATCAATCTCAGTAGTCACTTTTGCTCGAGTTCAGCATCGTTTTGTTTGTTTGACTAGTTCAGTTGTCTGGTATGAGAGTCAACATGCTAAAAAAATCTTAATGACTCCCCGGGGATCCACAGGTTATTGACGACATGAAGGAGGAGTACGTACCTCTGATTTTAGTTGACCAAGACTCTGTCGATGATCATTGAAGAGGGACATTGCGGCTTGATTAAGAGAGAAGCAGGGGATTTTCTTGTAACAGAGAAATTCAAAGGGGTTATCCATCATGTCCGAAGAGCGAAGCAAATCAGGTGGAACGCGGTTTTGATTAGTCTCAAACGCTATAATCGTCAAATCTGATTGAATGCTAAGCTTTTTCCAGAATAGATTCTCGTTTGGATGGGTTTCTGCGTTCAGGTCGGCGATAAGATTCCATGGAGCGGAGAGAAGACCAGAGCTGGCCACAAACGATGCAGTCTCAGGTCCGCTGCTAAATCTGCAACCGAAAGACAAGAAACAGTAAGAAGCAGAAGTGATTCTTCAGAATAAAAATGAATCAAAAAGCTCATATTCACATACAATTGAGTTGCGCCCTGCGTCATCCTCAATCTTCAGTAATGTTCAAGAGCAATTCGTAAGAGACGACTACTCAGCTCTCGGAGATGACGATATATAATCAGCTAACAATTGCACACGAAATTCCCTGGAAGACGGGCAGAAATGAAGTGCGACGTTCGGTAACTTTCTAAGTCAATACGCGCCTGAAGTCTTCTTCTCTTTTTCTTTTTCTTTTTTTTTCACCCGATTGAGTTGGAGATAAACAAACAAAAAGCGAATAACAAGATCCTTGGCGGGCAAGCAGACATGGCAAACTCCAAAAAGACTCTTGTTCTCGTTGCGGGATTCAGCCCATTGGTTACAAGGAACGCCAATTACGTCCTGTGATGTTTTATTTGTAATACGCCTGGGTGTTGTTCGACAACGAAATAAATTCCTTGATAGTTAGGTAGGTGTTGGTAATTCTCTAGAAAAGGAATATAAAGTCATTTTTTGAAAGAATTCAAGGCTGCAAAATTACAAGTGATTTCCCAATCTTCCGTTAATAACTTCTTTAAGGAGAGGCAATTGTTTCTATGTATAATTCGCATGCTCCTACATAAATAAAGGAGCATGTTACCATGTAAAAAGGTAGGCCAAAAAAAAAATCGTCACCATGTAAAAAGAATTCCTCAACTAGAAGAAACAGAGTCAGAGACTTAGAAGTGAAAAATTGTCTGTATTGTCAGCAGTTACAGCGTATACAAAAATTATTTCTTTACTTTGTTATATCTTCTAATATGTCTCGCTGAATTTGTATAGTTCGTTCACTTTCTACAACAAATCAAGCTCGGTTTTTATGAAAAATGTAAAATTTTCAGTTCCCCCCTCCTCCCTAGCAAGGATAACCACATGAACTGGGCCTTCTTGACTTCTTCATTCCCGGAAGCAGCATAAAGTACTGAGAATCAATAACTTTTCCCTTTCAGTAACAAAAAAGGAAATTCCCTTTCTTCACCCTTCTTCTTTTGGGCCACCATGCAACATTTCAGGCTCCAAAAAACTTCATGCCCCAAATGTTCCAACTCCATTGATCCAATGTTGTCGGACTATAGTTTTTGTTCAATAATTACAAAAAATGCTTCACTATTTATATCAGCTATAATTATTTCATTGAACACGCTGCATTATTAAGTTGCACAATTTTTTTCCCCGAAAGGAAACTAGACTTCCAAAGAAATCTCACATGGATGTGGCAGAGCAGAGAAATGTTCCCGATGCTTCTCAAAGTCAACAACTTCACAAAAACGGAGAATTGTCGGAGATAAGGGAAGTTTCCAAGCAGAGTAATAAATTAAATTGGCCTCAAAAAATCTAGTGTTTCTGGACGATATCTGGGAACAATGGGGATATGGACAACACAGGGAGTGTTGACCTTAAATAATACAGTACAGCCGGTAAAGAACCCAGTGCTTTCTCAGTAATTGAAGGCGAAGAAAAACACTGGAAAAATCATTAATAATGAGAACAGCATAGTATATAGTTGAAAAGGAAAGAGCTTAGGAAAATATGGAATGTAATATAAAACTACGGGCACTTGGGTCTGTCGCCGTGGGTGAGCATATCAGTGTAACACTTGCCACAGACGTCGCGGTTGCCGGAAGTACCAGGCGGAACACATTTGCAGCGTTCACAGCATGTGGTGCATGCCCTCATACAAACTCTTTTCCTCGAGTGCAATTGGCATCTATACTCACAAAGCGGCAAGCAATCTGCCCATGAACCAGTTTCAATAACTATCAGATCGATTTACGTACTTGCACACACTCACAACTAATAATATCAACGATTGCCCATGGCTTCTTACGTATGTTTGCGTGTGTGTGTGTGTTTTTCGTCTACTGGTATTTACCCTTGTTTGATTTCACTATCGGGGCTGCGGGTGGAGCTGGCGCGACCGGCGGCTTCACCGGTGATGGTGGAACTGGGGCCTTCTCCGGCGCCGGAGGACTTGGATATGGGGTCTTTACGACTGGAGGAGGAGGAGTTACTGGCTTCACTGGTTGCGGAGGGACATGCGCCCCCACAGGTGGGGCATCTGGTGGTGGTGACACGGGGGATTTCACGTAGTTCATCTGTAGATAAATAACATCATGTTTTTCTATTATACATATGTTATATACATCTCAATTATAAAGATATTGGTAGCTGATACACTCTTCCAGGGATCTGAATGGTTTTCCATTCTTCAACTTTCATCAGTCATACGCAGAGAATCCCCTTTCTCTGTGTTTGATTTTGCTAAAATTAAAGAGTGAACACTCAAAGCTGTTTAAGATGTGTGGCGAAAATTTAGTCTTGGGAAAGCCAAAGCAAACCGACGAACAAGTGAATCATATACCTTTATCTTAACTTCGCCATCATGTGAATGAACCTGCAGAGAGAGAAAGGAGGGAAGATTGCCAAAGTTAGTGCACTTAAACCAGTCCCACACAATCACTTGTTACAAAAATCTATTTCTGGGAGAGTGAAGCATATACCTCTGCTGCGACCACAAGGAAAAGGGCCAGCAGAAGAATGGCAGATTTGGAAGCCATTGTTGTGTAGAAGAAGCCAAGAGTGTAGGCAGTGAGTGTTGATCGAAGAGTCAAGTGCCAGTTACAGCAGCTTATATAGAGAGGGAGGATAAAGAGATATAATTTTCAAAGCATATTAAAATTTGGCTGCACAGAGTCAGCAAGCTATATTTTCGAGGGTGTGTCGCTGTCCCCAAAGCTGAGAGATAGGGTGTGAACCCACATGCTTGTGCTGAACTAGAACATACATATATATATATCATCAAAGTGTGCGTCCGCCAGCAATGAATGGTGCTACACTCGGAGCATGTTCATATGAATGAACTTGAATTGAACTAATAATTAACACGCTTCTCCCCAGATGAGATCTCATCACTTCTCACCTAATCATCTCCATATATGACGAATTTTGCAGTCAGGTTACTGTATTAAAATGGACCGTTTTATTGCATACCCTCCTGTTCTTAATCATTCATGTCATCTCACAGAGACTTGGAGATCGAGCAACACAAACACTGACTCGCAGCAAGTATTGCACATAGGGCGAATATGGGAAGCACGTGGGGCCAAATACTGGTTGGCACCGAAGCTTTCCTTTCAAGTCAACTTGATAGAGGAGGAAGACATGTCTTTGACACAGCTAATAATGTTGTTGTTGGCAAAGCTAAGGTTTTTGGTATCGGTGCGAATTTGTAAGTTCATGACTAAGCTGAGTTCATGACTAAGCTGAAAAGCATAGGAAAGAGCAAAGTAGACAGAAGGACTGCACAGCGCACAAGGGCTGGGCTGGTTCTCATGAGCTTCTCCGTCGATTCCAGACTTGTAGAACGAGATACGCCTTCGTCGCCGTTGATTGAGAGATATGCAGTTAGATGAGATGGACGCGGACGTTCAAACACTAATATAATGATAATAATAAAAAATATAGAGTATATACTAAGTTCAGGGAAAAAGTACTTCTCTATATATTTTATTGCTATTATATGCATTTAAATTTTTACTGTTGATAATTATCTTGATATGGTCCTTTTTTTTTAATTAATTGATCACCGAAATTTTGAAATAAATATAATGTGTGAAATTCATTTTTACCTTTTTTCAAATTTATAAGAATTTTAATGGAAAACATGCTAACTGATTTTGTTTTCCAATTCACATTGTAATTAGTAGAATATAGATGCCTCTGTAACACGAATGTCCCTTATCTTTGTAGCAAAAAATTCTTAAAATTACTTTAAGAAGTTAAAAGACTTCTGTCAAAAAATAAGTAAAGGAAAATTATAATTATTGGAAAAGAAAATTGTTATTGTTGCTCTAGAGAATCCATGCTTGACCCTCTAATCTGACGGGGCCGAGCAGCCAACTTTAATTAACTACAACGCGACCTTTGCTTGCGACATTGCGAATGTTTTGTTTTTTTGACATTTTAGTGTTCTGCTTATCATAAATATTTTTATGTAAATTAATATAAAATACTTTTCGTGTACCGTCAAACATTTAATTAATTTAAACAAAATTACATTTTCTCTACGAGTGCATAAACTCATGTGAATCTTTTTGGCCAAATAAATTCATATGAATTGACGTGCTCTTTTTTTATGATATTTTTTTGAAAAACACTGTTCTTTTTATTGGAGATTACTACTGGTATGTAGAAAGAGGCAGGACTAAAAAAACTATAATGAGGCTGTGAATGTAATTACCTCTTAATTAATCGAAGAGGGGGGTTTGTTCCCCTCGATGTTTGCCTTTGATACCTTTTCATGCAATTATATTTATTTCTTGAAAGACGAGTTAGTAACAGTATTTTTTAGTGAGACATAATATGTAAATAAAATGAACTGGATAGATTAAGAAAATTATTACAAGCACAAAATAATGTTGAAGAATAGTAATTAAATCGTGGGGTGGGGAGGGGACGGAGATGAATAATTGATGGATTTGGGGGAGAGCATAGGATTCCAGAGGGTGGGCCAGGGCCAGCCCAGCAAAGCCCCATTAAATTCTCCTCGTCCGCACACCAAAAAGATAACATTTCTGAAATATTTATTATTATTACATCCGATTCTTAATATAAGAGCTCATTTAATTTTTATTTTGATTATAATTATAAAAATATAATATAATTTATTTTTTATATTTATCTATTTTTTTACAGTAGTCTTTGTAATAATGATAATTTTAGCTGATACATTTAATTAATAATGATATTTTAGGAAAGACAACACTTATTTATTATAAATAAATAATTTTTTTAATCTACTCAAATTAGTCAACTAGCTCTTATATTAAAAAGTATAGGGTATCTCACATCTTACCTACTACGCGTCCTTTGCATCACTGTGATTTAGGACACTATTCATAAATTACCTGTTCTATAATTGCAAAACGTGACCAACTTGTTCTCTGAGTTTGACTTTCCTTACAAAATCATACCTCATTAAAATGGATCTGCCACTTGCCTTTCTATATTTTAAGGGATATTAGTTTTTACTATGAACCGATAATAGTTATATGATATCTCCAAAAACATTAAAAGAAGAAAAACATTAAGTTTAGATCAAAGATCACTTTTTACTGGAGGCAAAATTAGAAGAATTATAATGAGGTTCTAAAAAAACTAATTATAAAATGAGTTTTAGAAATTGTCATCTCCTATTTTAAAACTTGTTGTTATTATTGAGATTTTTTAATAATTTTTTTAGATTCATTGTAATTCCTCCTGTATTATTTGATAGGAATGATTGCTGCAGGTCAATGAAGTTGGAGGAGACAACCTGATCTGTGAGTTTACGGAATAAACTGAGGGCCTAAGGATTTAATTCATCAGATAAATGACCCAGTCCTTTTTTTGGAAAAGAAAAAATAAAGGCCTAAGCAGTTAATCGTTTGAACTTTGAAGTCAACGGTAAATAGTAAAGGGCATGATCGGGCAAAAAGTATAAACCATATCGGAAGGATGCCCAAATAATGTCTAACCCAGCTATCACCTGGCTTCTTTTTTCAATCATCATGACCAAAATTATTAGAAAGCAAGATTATGGTTGATTAAGCTACAGGGGCGTCCCTGGACATGTTGCTGAGAAGCTAGAAGTTTACCCCTCTTATCCTATTTATAAGGCACTTTCAGTATGTTTCACACAGATTAAGAAAAATCTTAAACTATATTAATTATCATTTAAATTTTAATGACTTTCCAATTTTATTCCTGTTTAATATGTATTATACTTCCTATTAACAAAGTCAATACAATAATAAATGAAGGGTAAAATTGTACATCCATACAAAAAATTTCTCTCAGTACCTTATAAATAGGACAAAAAAACCTTCTCTCTCTACCCTATAAATAGGACCAGAGGAGTAGATATGTTACTCTTTCCGGTCTTATTTTTAAGACTGTACTCATTCATTCAGAAGCTTTTACAAAAATTAATAAAATATTCATAATATATTTTTAAAAATGCTCTTATCTCTTTCACTCTTAGCCTTTCCATCTTCCCCATCCCTCTCCCCCAACTAACTCTACTAATAATTGAAGATTGTTTTGAAGAGTTGTTAATTTTTTTTTTATTAACTACTCATTAGGTCTTAAATATAAGATCAATTTTATAATGTAATTTATACTATAAGATAAGTTTATATGTAGGACTTGGGGAATAATTTTTTTAATTTTATAAAAGTTTTGCTTGGCAATCTAGCGCATACAGTATAAATCAGATTATATATGAAAATAAAGGTAGATCTAATTCCATTATCATACCACTGATCAAAGTAAGGACGCAATCGAAATGCAATCACCTCCGGCTTATATCACCTTATACAAAGCAAAATCACATGACTGATCTGCTCACTCAGCAAATACATTTAATGACATACATAAAGTGGAGATTGTAGTTGGCTTTAATCAACACATACCAAAGATTCAGAGAGCCTCCTCATCACTATCTTCAAAAGCCACCCACTTAGACCATATTGTCTGTGTTTTCAACAGGAGGAGTCAAAAAAGGTCATGATAATATTGAAACTTGAACATGTGGAAAGTATTCTCTCCAAGGAGAAAGGTAGATAATATAAAAGTCGTTGTCTAGTAATTTTTTGTATTGACACCTCCTTTCTTGAAAAGATGTCATTTCGCTGGGTGTTAATGGCCATGCCCATGCTTCTTTGGATAACTCCATATGATAATATTTATTCGGTTTTTAATATAAGATTCATTTTATAGTATAAATTGTACTATAAAATGAGTCTTATATTTAGAATCGGAAGAGTATAATTATAACCCCTGCTTAAAAATAAAATTTTAATTTACATCTGTATATCTCTAGAAATTAGAAAACAATGTTAAATCGCAAGGTACTCTACTGGATGCGCACATGAAAAACTACATTTTCTGAAATGGGGTTTCCAAGTCTGCATCAATGCTTACCCATTCCAGAGTAGTCCCAATGATATGTGACCGTCATTGACGTTCCCATTAACAAAGTGATGTCACAATTGCCGATGCTAGCCCGAAGCTTCCATATATAATACTTCTTGCCCCTTCTCTTTTGTATTTTCTGCTATTACTAGAATCTGAGATGGTAATTCATTTTGAAAATGTCCGCAGAATGCCTCGATACGGGAGCATGGCTACTCTCCGGAGAAATCATATTCACCCTTCTCATACATAGCATAATTCTTCATGAAGCTGGTTAGTTGGGAGCCATGTGAAGATCCCTTCAATCTGAAGTAGTCGTTCCACCAGCGCATATAGCTGCTCTCCTCCAAGAAAATCTCCGGCGACACTGTATAATTCTTCAGCAACCCATACACATACTCCTCAAACTCCTCCAATCTCTTCATCGCCTCTTGCTTCTCTGCCACACTGGACCCTGCAGCCTTGCATTTTCGCAGCGAAATGAGAGCTTCTTCTACGTGTGCCCAGAAGCAGGAATCCTTCGTCAACATAGATTGCACATTCTTTCTATTTATCGGCTCTGCTTTCTTATCTTCTTCATGCCCCTTTTGTTTTTCTATCCACCTCTTCTGATCTTCTTCCTGCCACTTCTGTAGCTGTTTGTAATGCTCAGATCTTCCTTTACATATGTAGTCTTGTCCTCCGTCCTTGTAGTACCGAGCTATGTCCAATGGTTCGACCATTCTCCTGTAATTAGTCCCAGCATAAAGCCACCGGGTACGAAAAGGTGCAGCTTCTTTCTGGGGACGAATCTCTACCTCTTCAACCATATCTTTCCAGTAATTGTTGAGGATTTTGACGAACGTGGCAATGTCCTGGTCCCTTGGAAACCAATCGTTCTTGTAACTGTCATAGTACCCTGTTCTCCGATTCTTAGAAGTTTTCTTGTACCACTCCAGTTGGGCCATATACGTTTTCATTTCATCCAGCCTCTTGTGAGGGATAAACTGTTTCCTCTTATTCAGAGTCAGCAGCAGCTCGTCCCTCTCCAGATCTTTCACCAGATTGTACTGACACATCCATTTAAGGGGGGAAAAAGACCAGTCAGATTCAAACTGCATTTTCTTTACATCATTCAGTCTGTCTCACTTTTTAATATTGAACTCTCTGTTTTTTTTTTGTTCTTCAAGAAAGAAAAGACAAAATCTTCTAAAACTGGTACATTATTTTTCCCGCATGGATTAGAAATTAGGGTCGAGATACCTGCGACAATTCTGAATCTGAAAATCCCAGCGCCGGCAACTGCAAAACGAGGCTCGCCTGTAGTAAATTGTGAGCAATATTGGGAACATCAGAGTCCTTGCAAACTGCCTTACTACTGAGCCTCTCCGCAATATTTCCATATGCTGGGATTTGCGATCCTTGATTTGGGGTACTCATTTCCTTCAGAAGCCTCGAAATAGAATCGGGGTTCTCAGAACAAGTAGAACCGCAATCAGAACACAAGAGGAATGTTCCGAAGGGCCTGTACGAATCGTTGGAAATGAAAGAGGAAACCAGTGGGTCACGGTGAGAGGCTACATGCAGAAAGCAAGAGTTCCAAATGCTGCTACGTGATATGGCTTGTTGCAGGTATTTGTCTCCGATCAGTGGAGAACCAAAGGTGATGCAGAGTGGAGGCTTGTCTGATAAACCCATCTTCTCTATCAGCCACAGAGTGAAAAGAGAAGCAAGTGATCCTCCAACACCATGCCCAGTGACAATCACACGTTTCCGGAGATCGATCTGCATTCAGCAAAAACCCAGACACCCAACTATCAATCTCAGTAGTCACTTTTGCTCGAGTTCAGCATCGTTTTGTTTGTTTGACTAGTTCAGTTGTCTGGTATGAGAGTCAACATGCTAAAAAAATCTTAATGACTCCCCGGGGATCCACAGGTTATTGACGACATGAAGGAGGAGTACGTACCTCTGATTTTAGTTGACCAAGACTCTGTCGATGATCATTGAAGAGGGACATTGCGGCTTCATTAAGCGAGAAGTAGGGGTTTTTCTTGGAACAGAGAAATTCGAAGGGGTTATCCATCATGTCCGAAGAGCAAAGCAAATCAGGTCGGACACGGTTTTGGGCAGTCCCAAACGCTATAATCGTCAAATCTGATTCATTGCTAAGCTTTTTCCAGAATAGATTCTCGTTTGGATGGGCTTCTGCGTTCAGGTCGGCGATAAGATTCCATGGAGCGGAGAGAAGACCAGAGCTGGCCACAAACGATGCAGTCTCAAATCCGCTGCTAAATCTGCAACCGAAAGACAAGAAACAGTGAGAAGCAGGAGTGATTCTTAAGAAGAAATGGGAATCCAAAAGTTCATATTCAGATACAATTGGGTTGTGCCTTGCGTCATCCTCAATCTTCAGTAATGTTGAAGAGCAATTCGTAAGAGACGGCTACTCAGCTCTCCAAGATGATGATATATAATCAGCAAGCAGCTGCACAAGCTGGGAGAAATGAAGTGCAACTGTGCAAGACTCGACGATTTGCTCCTCAAAGTCGTCGAACTCCTTCAATGTCATATCCCCAGTCCGACGGTTACCTACCAGTCCCAAGAGCCAACTACCAAGGCTCCGAAGCCCGAACCACGTGACGTCGTTTTCCGCTGGGCAAATGGTTATGGAAAGGTTTTACTAGGGGAATGAGTTTGGCACTCAACGTTCAAATATATTTTTCAATTTTTTTAAAATATTTATTTTAGTAGGTATATAATTTAAAATAAGATAATATCTTAAGTAAAAAAAAAAAAAGATAATATCTTAAGTTAATTATAAATCTTTTAAAAATATTTTTATTAAAAATATTAAATTTAAACTGTATAAATCAGATCTAAATAGTTCAAAATGTTTATCAATAAATTGGGTCCGAGGGATTATTGCATCTTAAAACCTCACGAAAAAGAAGAAAGCTATAAGAAGAAAATGACAGGGTTTTAGTAGTTGATCCCACTTGTACATGTTATTGGATATCACTCAAATTCTCATTCACAGTCATCCGCAAGGACAATTTTTAGTTTTACATATAAGTCATTTTTCTGGCATTTAATGACGATTTTCTAATTTTATTTTTATTAAAAAGAGAAAAAGGTGATAATAATTTGGGATCACTGAGTTGTATATAGGTGAATTTGTTTGCTTTCGGCATTGTCATCGGAGCAGAACTCGGATGTAACGGAGCATATGAGTTGAGCTCTGATAAGGAGAGAACGAGGGAGGTGGACCAAGAAATTAGTAAACTGGAGGGTGGTGGGCGTAACAATCAAACTCAGAAATATATGTATATATAATGACAGAACAATATCAAAGCAAATGCTATACTGTTCTCATCACAATATGGACAAAATCTTACTCAGAAAGAAAACATTTGCAGAAAGGGAAATGTCAGAAGAACAGAAGAAGAATTCCAGAGGGAGGGAAGGAGCCACATAGAGAGAAGAGAGATTCCATAGTCATTCCACATCTTCCGTAACCAATTTTACCCTTATTATACTGACTCCTCCGCCTCCAAAGCTCACACTTTCCATGCTTCCCACTTGTTCCTATCTTGGGCCTCCCATTAGGGCCCCTAACTGGGCCCAAATCCTTTATGACCGTTACAGTGGGGTATGAAGTATGATTTAGGAGCCTGCTTCAACATGAGGCAGTTGGGATATATCATGTGGATTGGTTCATTCGAGTACAGTGGTCTAAAATTGAGGGACCATGCTCCGCGTAATGGACTGTTGTGTTCTGGACATGTAGTGTAAGCAAATCAGTTTTACCTACCAGAAGCTGAATGAAGTTTGTTAGAGGGACAACTACTTACAGCCGATGTGCAGTTCACCACATCACTAAGTTCTTCTTTTCTGCGAATAGTCCTTTACTATTAACCCTTTGCATGATTCCAGTTTGGCATTAAATGGGTAGAGAAGAATCTCTACGCACTTCAATTTATCTACAAACGTTTACTCTGATACTGTAATGTCAAACGATCGACTTGTCTGTACTAAAATAATCAATGCTTTGACTTTTGGATAATGATTCGATTTGATCGCAGGAACAAACTTGATATTTGTATTGACATCAAATTTACACATAAATTGAAGTCGGCTTGTTGAGCAAAGTACATAATTAAGCTTGTAATCAGCATCGTATAACATTCAAACTCAATGAGTTTATAATGAACATCAAGACGTGGTTTAGTCAACCGTAATTTTTTCTCAAGACAGTGACATTTGAAACTGAAGGAAGGCGAGAAGAGTCAAAACAGAATCGAAGTGTAGGGAGGAGACTAGCCCATAACGATCAAGTGCTAAGGCGTACGTACGGTGCAAGTTGATAAATTTTGTGGAAAGAGAGTTAAGTCAGTGTGTTGTTAGGTTCTTCCATTCAAATATTGAAAAACCAAATTCGCTGGAGACAGCATTATTGATATAAGGATGAATTATTCTTAATTCACAAAATTACATACTACCTCTGGTCCTTAATATAAGATTTCGTTTGACTTTTATTTTCATCCTAAATATAAGACCCTAATCCACTTTCTCTCTTATATTTATGTATTTTTTTTAAGATAGTCTTTCTAACAATGGTATTTCTTATCAATTAATAAGGATATTTTAGGAAAAACAACACTTATTTATGACAAATAACTAACTTAACTTCTTTCATTAATTTTTTCAAATTAGTCAACTAGCTCATACTCCTCCGGTCCTAATTATAAGACCCAATTGACTTATTTGAGGAGATTAAGGAAGTAAGTTAAGTTGGTTATTTATAATAAATAAGTGTTGTCATTCCTAAAATATCCTTGCTAATTAAGTATATTGGCTAAAACTATCATTATTAAAGGATTATCTTGAAAAAAATACATAAATATAAGAGACAAAATGGATTGGGTCTTATAATTAGGACCAAATAAAAAGTCAAATTGGGTCTTATAATAAGGACCGGAGGAGTATAATTAAGACCGGAGCTAGTATAATATTATCATTCTTCTATAGCGTGAAATGTCTGCGTGGGGTGTTAAGTCCTAATTCTAATGGAACTATATTACACGAGAATTTTGTAAGAAAACCGAATCATCTGATGTGAAGTTATAAAAATCATGTTGATTTTAGTTTGAACATGATCAAAGGATGTTTAGATGGCAGGGGGTGTATTGAAATGAAAGGAGCTTCTAGTAATTTTGAGCAATTGGCGCATATAATGCAGCTTTCGTACCAGTGTTGATTTTAGTTTCATAAAGTGATCTATCTGGAGAATTCTGATGTATTTGTGTAGGCCGTTTGGGTAGGCAGATTGTCCCGGCTCACAATTATGAAGTTTCCTTAAATTGAACTGCAGATCTGCAGGTGTGATGTGATCATGACGACGCCAAGTGTTCGATAAATTGCCCCAGTGTTGACCCTCACCCCTCTGCAGCCAATAACGCAGAATCCAAAGTCTTTCTCTGGCATTTGAAAAAGAAGAATTATGTTCTTCATAACCATAACTCAATCCAACTAGCCTTCTGAACTAAAAATCCTATTTGTAATCTCCTTGGTATTTTATTTGATGAGTTTATGCCTACTGCTCTGTTATTCAGTTCAGACGACAGGCAATAATTTTGCAGTTGCTGTTGAGATGCACTGCTCAGGTGGGTAGGTGATGTAGTGTTCATTCATGAGATGAGTTGGTTGGAAAGAAAAAGAAGCTGCATTGGACTCACCTTAACCATCCAGACAGAGCGCGATTGGATGCTTCTTTTGACTCGACACTTCATTGAACTGTGCGTCCAATAAACTTGGATTCTGCTTCGGAACATCGTTGGCAGTGGCGTCCATTACACAATTGAATAAGGTCAATGCACTCAATTGGGGACCCCCTTTTCAGGAAGAAAGTTAAAAACGGAGGGAGAGTGTTCCCCGTGGGCCATGTCTCTATATTCGCACTTTGTCTGTACATATGGTGGTTGGGGAAGGATGATTGGTCCGTGACCTGCACGTGCTTTTCTCTTTCTCCATCATTATGGATTGAAGTTTCGTCGGTCACTACGATATCTAAACAAGATCTAAAAAGTAACAACATCATGATAAACGCATCTCGTTCTTTTGTGACGAGATACCACAATTTACGTTTTCAAACGGAGAAGAGGGGACGTGCAAGTGGCCAAAAAAAAAAGGCACTCCAAACAACGCATTTGAAGCAGCGGCTTCGTCAACTTTGCCACCCTCTTGAGTCTTGTCGAAAGGGCTTTAAAAGGCTTCGTGGACTGCTTTTTGGTCTTTCGCTCCTCCCTTGGTGATGGATGGGTAAGTCATAAAGCGCACGATGGTATGAAACCATTTTTATGCAGCTGTATGGACTTTAAACCCCTTCACCATCCTACTTCATAGGACTTGGCCCCCGACAATTCAGGGCATTTAGATGGGTCCACCACCTAATGAACCTCACATGCATTGTTCAACTTCGCTTTGCCATGTGTCAACCTCCCACGGTTGAGTTTAGAAAGAGATAAAGTGCTTGTTGATCTTGCTTCTTTTACCCTTCGAGAATGTGAATTATTTTAAGTCAACAAGCAGTGTGCTTTAATTTTTGTTACAGAAACAGAAATTATTTGGGTTCTCACGGTTTTCTCTCTAAACCCCTCTTCTCTGGCCGTCTGTTGGTGTCGGAGAAGACCATGAAATCTTGGGCCACGCTTTTTCTGGACAGGATTAATGGCTATAGCAAATGGGAGAGATGCCTCAACAGAGGAAGTAAGGTGCCTTTTGTTTTGACGTCTCTGTTCGTAGCCTCCATTTTCGGTGTCTTCCTTCTCTATTCCCCAAATCCTTTGTCTGCCATGTCCATTCGAGGAGGCTCTGACACAGTTGAGAAAAACTTTCAGAAGCAACAAGAGCTTGTCAGTACAAATTCTACGTCCAAACCACAGAAAGGTAAGTTTCACATTAATCGTCCCCTTCGTCCTCTTGCCTCTCGGCTCTCGGCTCTCGGCTGAGTGAACACAATTTGGAATTTGGGTTTTGCAGAGCAGAAATGGTGTGACCTGTTTAAGGGTCGGTGGGTTGCAGCCTCAAGAGGACCGCATTACACGAGTTCTAGCTGTACGACCATCCCAGATACGAAAAACTGTCTGAAGCAGGGCAGAAAAGATAGCGATTTTCTTAACTGGAAGTGGAAGCCAGAGGAATGCGAACTTCCGAGATTTGATCCTAAAACCTTCCTAGACATGGTTCGAGGGAAGAAAATGGCGTTCATTGGCGACTCTGTGTCAAGGAACCACATGGAGTCCCTCCTCTGCCTTCTGTCCCAGGTCAGTGTTGCAAGTACTGCTGACACATGAATTCCCATTGTATTTTACGCTAAGCCACTTAAATTCCAAAGCAGAATTGTCTTAGGGGATGGGCAGAGTTCTTGTTATTCCGCTGAATACGTAATTATCCAAAACCATGTATTATTACGCATTGAACCCTCCCAAGTATTTTTGCTTGCACTAAAAAGGTATGCGATTCCCAGCACGTAAGCACTGGACCTTGGCACAGCCCAGCTGGGTGTGGGTATACAGACAAAGCGAAAATATCTCAGGGGCTCCAAGTAAACCAGAACGTAGAAAAGCATTGACACGGCTTGTATAATTTTACAGGAAGAAATCCCAAAGGGTATATACAAGGACTCGGAAGATCGGTTCCGAAAATGGTTTTTCCCAGAGCACAACTTCACTCTTATGTCCCTGTGGAGCAGATTTCTGATAGTAGGAGAGGAAAGAATGGTAAACGGCAAAGGGTCCGGCATTTTTGACATGAAGTTAGATAAAGTAGACGATGATTGGGCCATACAATTTCCCGACCTGGACTACGCAATAATCTCAGACGGGCATTGGTTCTTCAGGTTGCTGTACCTTCACGAAGCAAACAAACCGATAGGATGTGTATACTGCCATGAACCAAATATCACGCACTACGACGTCGACTTCCCCATAAGAATGGCCTTTCGTTCTGCATTCAGATACATGAGTAACCACAAAAGAAGAGTGGCTCTGTTAGTGAGAACATTTGCGCCATCCCACTTTGAGAATGGAGCATGGAATGGCGGAGGATACTGCAACAGGACGAGTCCAATGAGGGAGGAAGAAGTTGACTTGGAGAGCGTGGAGTGGAAAGTGAGGAATGTGCAGATACAAGAGGTGGAAAGAGCGAGAAAAGAAGGGCATAGAATTGCAGAGTTGGATGTGACGAGGGCGATGCTGATGAGAGCAGATGGGCATCCAGGGGAGTACTGGGGAAACAAGTGGATGAAAGGTTACAGTGATTGCACACATTGGTGTATGCCTGGTCCCATTGATGTTTGGAATGAGTTCTTGCTCGCACTTCTCACCAGGGAACCTTGGTTCTGACCTCTCATCACTATGGAGTTTAGTATCACATTCTCCTGGGGCGCTACTTTTGCTCTTGCTCAATCCTCAACTTGAGGCATCCGGCTATATATATACATATTCCATTTGTATATCAAGCTTCATGAGATCTCACACTTAGGAGGATCATAACATATTTTTCACCTTTCCATACTGAGAATCAAACTTCTCATCGAGATACTTCCATTATATAGTAGAATATAATAGTATTCTTATAGTGGTATATTCTATTCTAATTTCTTATTCTCATTATATTAACATAGATTGGCTTTCTTTCTCTCCAATAATGGGTTCATGTATTCGATTTTCAACCTCTGAATCCAAATCTTTACTCTTCCCTGAAGGCGGGCGGGTGTTGATTTGTAATATTTGTAGGGAATGGGCAAAAATGACTAGGATCTATGTTCGAAATATACTCCATCTTAACATCTTTGTTTTGTTCCAAAATACATTGATATTCTTCATCTCAATCTAACACTAACGATTCATTCACAATAGCATAGCTTTTTATCGGTGTAACTAAAAAGCATATGCAATACCCATTTGAATTTCGTGCTTATTTGAGCTTTTAACCTAGAAAAGCTCAGTTGCTTCTCCAATCTATCTACAGTAATTTGTTTTTTTTTTTGAATTTATGTGCCCAGAAAATAAAAGCTTTTTGAAGTTTTTTGGGGCCTTTTAGCCTTAATCAAAAAATGACGTTGTTTTTTCTTTTTGTTAGCGGGCGTGTACGTGTTCTGCGACGGTGAGTCGAATCATGATTTACCGTATACACGATTCCAACATCATTATACGTTGCAGTCAGTGCTACATGTAGAGGTGTAAATAGGTCAGACGGCCTGTCAGGGGCCTATAGCCTGGCCTACATTTGGCCTGGCCTCGCCTTGCCTGTTTTCCAAAAAAGACAGGCTCAGGCCTGTTTGAAGGCCTGTTTAGTTAAATAGACCAGGCTTAGGCTTTTTAAAAAGCCTGTTAAGCCTGTTAGGCCAGCTTGGGCCTGTCAGGAATTTATAATCATAATATATGAAAAAATTAATTAATGTTATTATTGTTAATGTGCTCTTTTAATTTATTTTTTAATTTTAATATATAGTTAATAGCTTGATCTTTTCTTAGATTTTGAAGTTTAGATGACAAGTGAAGATAAAAATATAATTTAAAATAATAATATCAATAAATAATGTGATTTTTAAATCTTAAAAATATAAAGAAAATAGGAAAGAAAAATTTTGTTCCAAGAATGATAAATTAACTAACTTACGTATTATGTTAATTTAAGTATGATACCCTCTTTATTCATTATAAAATTAGTATTTTTTCCTCTTTATTTATTTGTCTTAATTTTAATTTTTTGTGTGTACTTAAACGTAGTCTTATTCCAAATTTTAACATATAATTACAATTAGTTTTCAATAATATTCTTATAAATTATAATTAAGATTTAAAATAGTACTTATGATACTAAAATTTAAATAAAAGACAAGACTAAAAATTAAATTATTATGTACGTTTTTTTTTATCTTAGCTTTTTTCTAAAAATAAATTATTATAATTTGAATTTTTTAAAAATACAAGCATTTTAACAGGTTTCAAGCCAGGCCAGGCCTTTATACAGGCCAGGCTCAGGCTGAAAAGTAAGCCTGTAACAGGCCACAGGCCAGGCTCAGGCCAATAGGCTTCAAAACAGACCTGGCCTGTTAAGAGCAAAGCCTGGCCTGACCTGTTTCCACCCCTAGCTACATGCAATAGCTCCCCCACTACTCCCTACCCAAAAAAACGAAAAAAGAAAATCATTAAGTGAATAGACCCAATAAGTTACATGCGCATGATTACATCAGGAAAGATCATAATCTTCCGAGCGATCACTAAGAAGTAAGAATAAGGTTTCTCCACTTCAGTTGGAGCCTCATCAAAGAACTGTAAAATGACTCCTCCACTAGAACCTATCTCTACATGGGTAAATTGGTTCCTCGCCTGGACCCCACAGCCTTAAAAAGACGGTCAACATCACCAGTGAACACAGCATTATGCATGAAAACTTGGGTAATTAAGTCCAGCACGCTTTTACGCAAATGAGAGTTAAATTGTTCAACTGTCCAGCAGAGTCTCCCACAACAAACAGAGTAAAACTAGGTGGTTTTGCATTCCACTCCACAAGTCCCAAAAGGTCGAGTCAACCAAAGGAGAACGACAAAGATCTGAATTTGTTCTGCTATATTGTGACAAACAAGTTCAAGAAATTAAATAATAGACTTTTGCCTAAGAGAGTACGGTTGCAATGGCCTCAATCAATATAATAACATTATCAGGGTGTGAGAAACCCGATCGGCCACCATGGTAGAACAGAGAATCTAAACAGATATAACTGTCATATTTCAAAAGTTCAGATTCTTGAGCAGAAGGGCTGTTCAATAATTCTGTAAGATGAGTCGGACAATGGAATTGCCAGCTGACGCATATGGGCGAAGAACAGAAAAGAATAGCAAATAAACTGTTTATCAGTGTCTGATAGAAGGCAGAACAGAATGGACTATGAGTGACAAATAAAGAAATAAATGTAGAAAAGATTCCAATGGAACAGCAGGATGCATATAACACTTGACAATGCCAGGAGAACATAGATAAGAAAGAACCGCATCAGTTTAAACCAGGATCTTCAAAGTTACCCAAAAAAAAAAAGAAGTAGTGATATTAAGTGACTGTCAAAACGGCAAGAAAGCAGCAATAAACGCAACACAACAGATTAATAATAAGAACACCATGATTGTCGGCTTTAGTTGACCCTAGGACCTAATAGGAACATAGACATGTTTCACAGACACCCGCTATAACATTTAGGGCCAAGAAGAAATTTTATCACGAAGATCCATACACAAAGGACAAGACATTTTCTCCACATTGATGTAAGAAAACACAAAGAAAACAAAGAGAAAACGTCAGCACAACCCCAACTTCCAGCCCTACTGTATGTATAACAAGGAGCCATTAAAATAAGCCCCATGTGCTGATACAAAGAGAAGCAAGATAAACAATAATGTTAGTAAAGACAGGTTTTCCCAAAGATTAGATCCTCCAGCTCACCAATCAGCAAGATGAAGAGCAGAGCCCCACAAAACCGCTCTGTTTACTCTCTTCTAAGGCCGCTGAAGCTAAACATACAAAATTGCTCCCTATGGCCTCAAGCATTGATCAAATTATCCGAAAGTTTCCATAACTTTATCCAAATATAAGGGGCAGCCGGCAATTCCAAACTTTTATCACAAATAATGCACACGTCCAGAGAAAGATCAAAAGAGCACAAAGACGTTTGGATAAACTGACCACCTTTATTTGCTAAAGGATAAAAGGAAGCTGATCATATTAACTAATCGCCAACTATCGTACAATGTAAATTCCAAATTGACACAAGAAATTATTTATGAGTTTCAGCCATCCCGGCATTGGTTATAACAACAGAGTTTTATGAAGAATGAAGCCCTCCAATACATTCTTAAAACAAAAGGACGATAGAATCTCAAACTAGGAGAGAAAAAATGAGGCTTACAATAGACGTTAATAATAGCATTTCTCTCATGTCTAGGAAACAAAAATAAATGCTAGACCATACTACAAACTTAAGTGTCTACTGTGTTGCCCAGCACATATGAGAAGAGCTCACGAACAGGCGAGAACTCCACCAGTCCGATATCCGTAGCATAACCAGTGACTGGCAATTTTAAGTCTCGCAAGACACAGAATGCCTCGGCCATCCTAGATTTTGGCACTTCTTGCGCAACCGAACAATAAGGAATCCAACAATCCTGGCGATATTCTTCGCTTATCTCGACGCCTTCTTTCTTCAATGCATCACACAGCTGCGACTGGAACTGAAGTAGCGAGATTGAGGGCGTGGGAGCAAGAAAAAGGACATTGATGTCATTCGGCAGGCTCCCAATGGAAGAGAAAGATAGAGGCAGAGATTCAAGCTTGGCTGCGAAATTTTTAACGATGGATTCAACCTTTATAGGATCAATGATTTGGCTTGAGAAAAGAGTGATGTGGGGGCGCGATTCAATTTCTATGAGTTGGGTACTGATTTGTCGGCGAGCCAGTACATTCCAGGCCTTCAAGACCTGGTTTTCAAGCGCAGGGTCGAAGTAAAGCTCAATTGCATGGCCTTGCGACATTGCCTTAAAATTGAGGTAGAATAAAGAGCTTCAGGAAGACAGGAACTCAAAAGCAGCGAAACCCGAGTTCCAAGACTGAGATCTCAGAACACCAGGAGGAAAAGAAGTGGCTAAATCGGGCCTGCCCACAGAAGCAAAAGAAGGGAAAAGCCAGATTCGGCCGTGATGGATGAACAAAAGAAAGTGGGCGGGTGAAATTGAAAGCGGGGGAGGCAAAGTGGACGGGCAAAAAGCTGGAAGAAATACGGGCAATGGATAATTGGAGAGAGACAGAAGGAAGAAGTGGGGAGTAGAAAGAAACGAAAGCGGAAAAGGTTATGAAGATTGGAATGAGAAATCTAAGTGAAACGAACAATTACACGTGAAAGGGTGGGTTAAAGTTTGTATCAAGAAAGAGACAGAGGGAATAAAGGAAAGGAAAAAAATCAGAAAAAGCTCATGGAAGCAAACACTGTTTCTGTGAGGAAGCCCAACAGAGAGCAGAGTTTAGGCAGCAGGCAGCGCTGGCAAGTGGGCTTCAAGAGGAAGAAGATATTGGTTACGTCAGGTCGAGGCACCCCAATCCCATTTCTCAGCAGAAAACTCCAAGAAGTCCTCAAAAATCACATTCACAATCAAATCATAATACCCTAAACGCGCAAGTCTCCTCCTTTCTCCCCCCAGCCCCTTTTCAGAAACGGCATTTGCTCGGGAGCCTCACACAACAATGCAAGAGTTTGCCCCGCATCGAATTCCAAAGGTTAGGTGAATACCTATGCTGTTCGATGCGGTCGTGCCGTCGTCACTACTTCTGATCTTTGTTGTTCACTCATAGCTCCATTATGCGTTTTCATCTCGGCCTTTTTTGGCTAAAAAAAAAAAACATTTATAACTTAAATATTGGGGACAATCATAATTAAATCTGCTTGAAATATCAAAATTTAAATTAAGATATGTACTTTTAATAAATTTTTAATTAGGTCAAGAGGTTTTATTAGGGATTTTTTAATATTATTAAAAGACTAGAATACTTTTTTATAATTTAAAACAATATTATTTCAAAAGATAAAGTATACATTTATTCCTTTAATTTTATAAAGTTTTAATTTGGTTCCTCAACTTTAAAAAGTATATATTTGGTTATTTAACCCTAAAGTCATTAGATTTTAATGATGATTTTTTATAACAATCATGGATTTTTTGAAAATTAACTTAATATGTTAGCATTTGAGAATGTTTTATTAACATTTAATATCTTAATGTTATCATTTTCTTAAAAAAATTTAGGGCTAAAGAATTAAAAGTATACTTTTTAAAGTTAAAAAACCAAATTGAAATTATACACAAAATTAAAAGACTAAATGTACGCTTTAGCCCATTTTGAAAACAAAAAATTAAACTATGAAAATTTGACATTATATAGTATTTATTTATAAAAAAATTTTTACATAAGAAAAATTGGAAATACTAAGATTAAAAAATTGACAATGCATAATATAATATTTTATACTAACTCCAATATTTTGATAAGAACTTTATGGTAACATGGACTTATTTTTTTGTAATGGGGACAGTGACCTTTTAATTACCTGATTCTAACACTATTATAGTTTTAAAAAAAGGGAAAAGTAATTTGGAGGTCATTTTATTTTTATTCGGTTTTGAATTGGGTTCTTAAACTTTTTTTTTTTATTGTATCCTTTAATTTTTAATTGTTAGATTTATCAGTCCTTGCCGTTAAATAAAAACAAACACTGTTAAGACTTTTCGTTAAATCACGGTATGCCTCATTCCACCATACCCAAACTCTCAGACCAAGCTTTCTTCCATCATTCGCTCAGTCCTCGATCAGCACTCAACATATCCTTTCCCGCCATTCAATCCTGTGATATAACAAGCCGTAGAATTTGATTGCATTTCCCCCTCCTTAACTCGAAACCACTTACAGTACTGATGCATTTACGTTGGGGATGTGCAAAGTGTCACTATGAATTTTTGACGTTTTGGGAATGTCTGACGCCATACCCATGCTATATGTGTTTATTTTTCCCAAAACCTCTACATCAGGTGCTTGCCATTTTCATTTTCGGGTTTGGGAATAACGTGATTCATTGTGAGGCTCACTGATTATAAAGACCCATTTACCCCAATTTCAAAGTGAGAAGGAATAGTAAGGTTAGGAGAATGACGAGGAAGGAGAAGACATTGGGGACTGAGCGAAGGAGGGAGGAAAGCTTAGTCTAAGTGCTCGTTAACGGCGGAAGAGGTAGACCCTAAACATGTTTCAGTGCTTTCTGACGAAAAATTTTAACAGCGTTTGCTTTTATTTAACAGCAAGAATTAAAGGACTTAACAGTTAAAAATTAAAGGATTCAATAAAAAGAAAAGAAAATCTAAGGACCCAATTCAAAACTGACTAAAAGCATAAGGACCTTCAAATTACTTTTCCCTTAAAAAAATTTCTTATAGTTAAAAAATCAAAACCTTAATGTATTAGTAGATTTTAGCATCAAATTTGTCATTTCTTTCTTAAATGTTTTGCTCTATTTGCCATATAAATGTCCTCATCATGTTATATCTTATAATCACATTATTAGAATTCATACTAATAATTAATATGAATCTGTATAAGAAATCTAAATAATTTTTCCATTAGTCTTTTAGTCTTTTAACAATATATGAAATAAAAACACGTGAAACTAATAGATCATCTGACGGCATCTCAATAAGAAAGAAGCTAAATCATAAATTGATTGGAGCAATTACCAATTTTGCTAACTTAAAGGGGTGTTTTAGTCTCTTAACAACGTTAAAAAATTCCTAATAAAGCCTCTTGGTCTAATTAGGGATTTATTAAAATTGCAGGCTTTAATTTGAATTTTGATATTTTAACATGATTTAATTGAGACTCTCCCTAAATATTACGAGCATATCGAATATATTTTTGTTTCAATATAGCTAAGTTTGTAACCTTCAACGTAGCTAAGTTTGTAACCAATTCTTATTATTACTTCTTTCCACTTATTCTCAGTATATCAAAATAAAAACTCCTATAACTAGTGCGCGGACAAATATTTACTATAAAATCACACGCACAACGAGTCTATTTTCTAGAAACGACTTTCTGATAAATAGCCGTTATATCGCATTGGGGGTTTAATTCGTTAGGTTGCGTGAAAATAAAGAATTTAGGAGATATTTATGAGTTCATGTCCTATCGTACCTCTACAAAAGCCAGCCCACAGTCCTGCATAATGCCAAGAAATTCATAAATATATTTCTTGTCTTTAAAATGAGATTTAATTTATAATATTTGAATGAATATATACACACGCACGCACGCACATGTTCCTGGGCGAAAAAAGAGAGTATATGCATGTCAAATTTTTTTCTCAAAACATGTGGCCACAGGTTATGATTTCATTCTCCATAACAGGAAAAGCAAACTTTTCTTATTATTAGGAAAGAGCAGCACATTTTGAAGACATCAGGCGATAGCGACGAAAAAGATAAGGGATAGCAAATTTTGACCAATGCTGCCATACAATTTAAAGTTGGAGACATTAGCCGCAAGACTACTATTCCACCAGCAGCACATAATCTGAGAGGTTTGTAGTTTGAAGCAACCAATTACTTCAATATTTTCCCGATTAATTGGAGACAACTATGCTCTCATGTTAAATCAAAACTCGACACTCCGGTTAAATTGAATCAATCAGATTGGTGGATGAAAAGCAGCATCTGGTCACACAAGTCCAAATTTTAGTGGATCAGTTGCTGCGTCTCTGTTCGATACGTGTCTCCTATTTCTGGCAACAAACTACACTAAATTCCAATAATTAATCGTTGCTTTGCCATTTACTGATCCTGTGCTTAGATTAGATATCACCACATAGCCATAGCTTTCTTTCGATCGCTATACCCCAAATATGCGATTTATATTTCAACGGGGACTAAACACAAAGTCTAAAATAGACAGCAAGATATTATTGAAATTCATTCAGCAGTCCAAGCACAAGCAGGCATTTGGTACACGCGGCCCAGCCCAAAGTGATCAAACCCAAAGATCCGGCAACAGGCAAGGAAGGGGACTGGATCCGAATTAAAAAGACCCAAACAAAGCGTAAGGAAGCCTAGTGGGGAACGCGGAGGTAGAGAGGGATGGGATTGTGAGCGTTAGGAGGGGAGTCCCAGACAGAGAATGCGCTTGAAGAGTTCATCCACCTGTGGGTCATTTCTGGGTAGTGACGGTCTATGACGTCCTTCAGGCTCTCCGTCGTGTTCACCCATTCCAGCCCCTTCTTCGTGTACGTCTCCTCGTTGAAGTCGCTGGTGAAGAACCTGTCCGCCTCCAACCTCCTGGTGGCCATGAGCAGGAATATGACGAAGGCTGTCTCGCTGATGGCGAAACCCTTGATCTTCTTCTCCGCCATGAGACCTACCAGCGTGTCCAGCTCCTCCACATCGTCGCCGTACACCTCTCGCAGTGCCTGTATTGTTTCCTTGTCGTCCGTCAGGTCCTCCCATTTCGTGATTGGCAGCAACAGTATCCCCCTCCGGAACTGGTTGTACCTCGCCACATTCCTCTCTCTGTCTCTGTATACTGCACACACACATACACACAGAGAGTACGTGTAGGTATATTATTAACTCTCTTAAGATATGATGCTGTAAGCTTGATAAGCAGAGGCGGGGCGCTTACTTTCAAGAGCCGGCAGGTCGACGTGATCGGACCTCTCAGTGCCATCCACGTTCTGTGGGACCAGGTCTCTCAGCCAAAGTGGATAGTTCCAAAGCTCAAGAGCACCGCAAGCTTGGTGGCCCATGGATACAAGTTGCCTTTGAGCTCCAATCTCTCCTAAGGCCTTCTCTCCGGGCAGTCCGATCAAATTCGGCATTGGAATCCTGTAAATCAGCAGCGAGCGTGCCAAGGAAAGGTAATGTTATATATAATTGGATATATGTCAAAGAAAAAGAATTGATAGAGAGACAAGACGAGCGAATATATATGGGGCCGCACTCTTTAATGAAGGGGGGAGACTTGTTGGGTCCAGGAGTGGCGGAGATGTCTCTGAGCTTGAGGGAATCGGGCAGGAGGGGGTGCATCCTGTAGACGCTTACAAATTCTTCGGTGAGAGAGTACGGAACCCCATGATTATCTGGCTTCTTCATGCCCACGATTCCCCCGAGAGTCGCTCCTCCCACATGCCCAAACGTGTCCTTGAATTTCTTTCCCAATAATCCGTACCTGACCATCACCACCATTCGTTCATTACTTATGTTGATCAGATCACAGCAACAAATTAAACAATTATTAATATTCATTGATCATCATCATCATGACATATATACACACACACACACATACCAGTTGGCTCGCATTCCCGCGAGCAGAGTGTCAGTTTTGAGGAGTTCGACGGTCCAGTCAATGGTGTGAATCTTGGCGACGACAGCTGCAGTCACCAGCCTAGCATGGCGATAAAGATCCTCATCTTCCAAATCTGGGTATTCTCTCTGGATTATATGGATATATGTATTTATGATCGTCAGTGTTGCGTCATTGTTTGAACTTCATTATTTTTAGAGAAAATAAAGCATCCCTACACGCACACATATAGATGCGGGAGCCTCGCTTATATATATGTGCTGCGTGTACATATGAATAAAAGGAATGTTGAAGTTGGAGGTAAGGTTACCTTGAGAGCATCGCAGACGGCATTGTGCTCTTGAATGAAGAGGGACTGCAAGGTGGAGACGCCGGCCCAACTATTACGGACGTCACCGGCGATGGCGACTCCATCATCGGAGTGGAGAAGGGTGCCGTCTCTGGATATCTTTAGCTTCCCGTCTTTGTATGTCCTCACTCTCCCTAACACCTTTGCGTTGCTGCCATATATGGCGCTTCCGTCCCTTCACACACACACACACATATTCATCACTTCCATCTCTCGCTTACTCATGATTTGTGTATCTACATCCACCTTTCATTTCTCCTATTTTCTAAATTTACCACACTGAATACGCGCATAAATACCTAATTATTATTTTTGTAATACTCCTCCGGTCCTTAATATAAGACCCATTTAACTAATTTGATTAGATTAAGGAAGTTAGATAAGTTAGTTAATTATAAGAAAAGTGACACATTTTTCCCAAAATACCATAATCATCTTTCTTAATACCCCTCTCTCCCTCTTCTACTTGATTATGGGTGAGAGAGTATCTATAAGGGTAATTTAGAGAAAATTGATAAATATGAGAAATGGGTGTTATATTTAGGACCAAAACCAACTTAAGAATTGGGTCCTATATTAAGGACCGGAGGAGTAATATTTTATCATTTCCTCGTTTAGGTATAAAGAGACGTTAATTACTTCAATATAAATCAAATTACAAAGCTTGATGCGAGCCAGTTATTATACTTTCATCCCGTAGTCACATTATTATGCTGTGATATTCTTTAATATTTCATGCCAGTTTTTTAACAATAGAATAATTATAACTAGCTAGTCAGTAGTCACTAGATTACTTAGGCATCACATGGCACCAAAAGACCTTAATTACCAAAAAACTGAAAAATTGATTAACTTTGTCGTTCTTTAAGTGCATGAGAAAGAGATTAGAAAAAGAATTTTAATCCACAAATCAAGTTTTATTTTTTATGAGTATTAAAAAAAGAAATTAATCACTCTTAAAAAATCAGAATACAGTACCTTACAAGAGAGTAAATAACAGGGTACCATAATGTTGAAAGAGAAGTAACCCGCCACATGCACATTGGGGAAACAAATGTCTTTAAATGATAGAAGAAATTAAACTTGACAAACCCGCACGACCTTGGACCTTGACTCATAGTATGGTGACATTTGTATGGTAGTAGTGTATCCGGTATTAATGTAGACAACATCGGATGTGGACCCGCGATGTGCGGGTATGGTATCTTTCTCAAATTCCCCGGCAGAGGGGCTAGGGATTTTAATGTACTTTTCTCTAATGTTTTGATGTCTTTTATTAATATTCTAACTTTTAAAATTTTTTTAAAAAAAACTGACTAAGACATTACCCCCAAAAAAAAAAAAACCTAGAAGAGAGGCAAACTAGAGTCCAGATAGAGTAGGTGGGTTACTTTTATTATGGCCATGGAAGTAGGTGGCTAAAATCCTTCAACTGAAACTGTTACCTGTCTCTTATATTAATATTACAACAACTTTTAGGTCAGCAGAAAGAGGGGGTTCACATTCACTAATGCAAAGAAGCGACACAATTTCTTGTCATAATTAATTATGCTAAGTATTAAAAGGCCGACAATGCATACAAGATCAGTGCATGAGCAGGGCAGTCACACACACACACACACACAAACATATAATATTAACATTCATGTGATATATACGTATTCTTATTTTATGAACGCAGGTAAGACTAGGGATACGGAGCAGGTGTGAGGGTGATAGATGAACATTCTTTAACATTCTTACCACCAAGGTGTACGAATGTTTACTGCACCGGTTTTGATGTCGTAAAAATCTGTGGGGATTTCCTTCGTCTTGTAAAATCTGAAAGACTTGAGTGGGCATTGGCTTGCAACTTCCCTTGGTGCGCTCAGTTCCACCTATCATCATTTTTCACAAAACACCACCTCTCTTAATTCTTCTCCAACAATTATATATATATAGAGAGAGAGAGAGGGCCGGGGGTTTTAATGTCTAGACAAATTAACATTCTCAATCAGCTTCGCCCCTTAGATTTAGCTATAGACATGTATAAATAGTGATTAAATACCTGGCCGGTCTCCTCCAAGTGATCGATCCAGTCATGTATCATGAATTGAATCCAGGAAGCTGCGATCATATTAAACTGCTTCCCAGTGTCCTTGACAGTTCTGCGCGCCAGAAGTTTTGTGGCCACCACCATGGGGTCCGGCTTCAAAAGCTGCAGTAAATACACACTGTTATTTCTCCGTTGACTCATATAGAATCCAAAACAACCAAAGTAACTACGTGCGGTTAAAATCTCAAAAGCCCTAATCAATTTATACGGGAATGGGTGTCTGTGATTCGTTTCCAGTTCACCAGATATTTTTATTATAACGGTGGCTCAGATATAAAGGTTGCATATTAGCGATGATACATGATGGAAGTGGTGAAGAAGACCTTGTTTTTCTGATCAACAGGAAGAATGTTCCTGCCAAAGAAAGATCCTTGGCTTCCAGCACCATCGTTGAAGGGGTCGTTGAACTTGCCATCAGCAGTTCTGTAGGGGAAATCCACGGGATTGAACCTCACCCCCACCGGAGTCCTCCCGACGTTGATCAGATTGTACTGTTGGTGAAGATGCCTCCTTATTGCCAGGTAGAACAGCCCCAGGAACACTGGCAGGCGTGGCCATATCCCCATCTTGTCCACGGAGTGCACAATCTGCATACACATGTTCAAACACAATATAATTAATCACATAAGTTACGGCAGTAGTGCATATTATCAACAAGAACATGAGCAGGAGAGATATAAATTTAATGATATGGTGGCTCTCGTACGAGGAACAGAAAGGTATCGATGATGGTCATCCTGGAAACGGCTTCATGGAAGTCTTTGTGGATGAACTGGTTAACGACTCTGGAGCAGAGAGTTCTCACGAGATCCATTATTGACCACATTATGCTCTCGGTGTTTATTTTCTTCAAATTTCTGGGTTTGAGGAGCCAACCATATTCCGGGTCCTTATATAGACCTTCCCATGCCCCCAGTTCCACGTCCTTTTGGTCCACTTTGATCTTATCTCAATTAAAACGTGGAATTAACTTTCAGATCATTTTTGTCATCTTAGACCAAATACTTCTTTGCCCTGTTTTCGACAAAACACGTGAGGCAGCCTTTATGTTCTAAATATAATATCTTTATACACACTAGTATAAGGGTCTTATATTTATGACCGGAAGAGTATTATTTTTGGCTTATCGATTGTTTAAGACCCTTGTACTAGTGTTGGCACGACCATTTTGTCTGGTATTGTGCTTGAATAATTCAGTACAATAGTATAAAATATCACTAATGGCCAACAAAATATCATTAATGACCTGTGATTTATTTATATATATATTTTGCCAACGACCTGTGATTTATTTTATATAACCATTATTGTGGCGTTTATTTTTTTATCTGTGGAAACTCACAAATTCAGTTCACTTCTCTAAATTTGAAAAATTATTTTTGCACTGTTCAAGGTATAATATTGACTAGAAGTGGTCCTCGTCACGGAATTATAATTGTTTGAATAAATTTAACTAAAAATTAATGAAGTAAAGACAAAAATGAGAGAATGATTTGATCATTCATTTATTTATTATAAATGTGGCGCCCCAATATAATATATAATTCATTACATGGGAAGAACGGTTCGTTTATCTTTGGAGGTGTCAAGCGGGTTTGTTAATGTAAGTTAATATTGTAATGTGATTCATTGAAATTACTTTGGGAGTAGATACTCTGTGGTTTCTTCTCTCTTAACTGTGGGAGTAATTATTGCTTGTTACATACCAATTGGGTTTCAAAATAAAAAAGATTATCTGCTGATCAATAAGTTTTATACAAGATAATAATTTTAAGGTGTGGCTGGAAGGGGATAAGAATTTATATTGAAAGATATTATACACACACACACACACATGTATTTATCTATATGAGTACACCTAAACCTTCTGCCTTTTCTGAGACGCCGAGTTGGGAAGGGACCGATTAATGGTTCACTACGGGACACCCACGCATACATCAATCTTAGTGTCTCTTTCCCTTACTATTCTTTTTTGACGGCCTTGAATATATTATCTCTGACTATTCTAATTTCTTGTTCGGAATGATGTAAAATCTAAGAATAGTCCAACATCTATAATAATCGCCCAATATATATGGCGTGTTCCAAGTTCAACGCAGAGAAAGAAAGAGTTCAGAGAGCCTCCAAAATATAATAAAGCAAGGTAATTCTCCGCTGCTTAATATAGTCTAATTTTTTGTGTTAATTTTGGTTTTAAATATAATACCTATTTATTATATTTGTTAACTTTTTCTAAATTATCTCTATGAATACTCCCTCAACCATAATCAAATAAAAGAAGGAGGGAAGACGTTAAGGAGGATGGTTATGATGTTTTAAGAAAAATATCTCATATTTCTTATAATTAACTAACTTACTTAACTTCTTTAACCTAATCAAATTAGTTAAATAGGTCTTATATTAAGCATCGGATGAGTACTGTATTATTATGTTCCTTTTTTTTTGGTTGGTCAAAGTAATACTCCTCCAATCCTAAATATAAGACCTTTATATACACTAGTATAAGGAATATACTATTATGTTCAAATCTGGCCGCCTTTTGAAGAAAAATATCTTAGGCGCGCGCTGTGCAAACTACAAAATCGAGCCAGTCAGGAAGAAAAGTATATTCCTTCCTAGCTGGCAAAATCATTTCAGATTCGTATTGTCATGATTGCCCACAGAATGATATTTGACATTCTAAATTTTGAAATTTCTCAATGTATTTGAAATATGATAATGGCATCTCTGATTAACTCGTGCATGTAATGTATACGATTTTTTGTACACGGCTGATCAACGATCGATTTCTTGAATATTAAATCAAATGACGACGTCTCACGTATGCTCTTTTAATTAGATAATTATATGTTCACTGCGTACGCGAAAAGAGGCAGTGTTTATTCTCAAAACTATAAAGACAATGGCACCCATTTTAACAAAGTTGGCTCGTTTAATGGAGATTTGACTCAGTAGCTCGTAAGGTTTTTTTAGCCAACCATGAGTAGTAGTAAGTTTAAATTAGTACTCCTGTCAATGTGATGATTTATTAATGAGTTCAAGGTCATGATTTATTAATGAGTTTAAGATCAAACTCACTCAATTTTTTTAAATTGGAAAATAAAAAGGGCAATAGTTTTTAAATTGTTACGTGTAAGTTGAGATTTTGGCACTGAGACGATCGAGAAATTAGAGATGCGCACCCATGGTTCACAACTTTAACTGAAAATTCATTATCTATAAATTAATTATTTGAAACTTATAATGAAAACAAGAGGGAGTATATCATTGTTCACAACTTTTTTCCATTTTCAATACACACTTCTATTTCTAACAACTTAGGCCCAGTTAGAACGATTCATAAGTAGCTTTTCAATTGTAATTGTGAGAAAAATGTTATCTCGACTTATATAAAATATGTTTATAAGTGTTTTTAAATGTGATTCCAAATAAATCCTTAGATGTCCCTTTTCCCCCGCTTGCTCAATTTTCAACATTGTTTTGGTCTCAAAATAACGCTCATTTCCTTCTCACGCGATGCACGTATATCAATTACTTTGTCTTGAGTTTTCCTTTTTCTAGACCTCGTCTAATTTGTACTTGCAATGATAATTTTGTAAAAAACATTTACCAATTTTTTGCGAGGGAAAAACATTTACTAATTAAAATCTTAATAACCGTGTCAATCAAAATTCGTGAATTCTTAGGGCAATTATCAACGGCGCATGAGCTAAAGATTTGATGAGATTTTCCCATAAAATTGTGCCTGAGAACCCAATATATTACAGTTTACAATTCAAAATTAAAGGGATTCGACAATTATCCTTCCAAATGAAGATTTTCAACATTATTATCAGGAAGGTCTTATTTGTGTTATATCTCTGTCATGCTGTCATATACGCAGAGAACCAGGATCCGGTGAGATTTGCAAATAGAAAATGATACAAAGTGAATAACTTTAATCATTTGGAAGAGAGAAAAGAAAAGATTTTGAAAGAAATGGAATATCTTTGTTCTAAGTACTCTGGCCAAAATATTATCAATTCTATTCAATTCCAATATACAAAATGTTGAGGGACGTTTGGATATTTTGTATTATCAATGCAGTTCCAATTTATATCCAAAATATTTTAAAATTATAATAACAAATGACCCAAGGTTCTTAATAAGTAAATATGAAAAATTCTGAATTATCTTTCTCTAAAATTAAAATGTTCTATGATAAGAGTTTTCACTAATTTAAAAGTATGACACGCTGGCCAAAAATGGAAATCACTACTTCCGGTCTTTAATATAAGAATTTATCTTACTTTTATTTTGGTTCTAAATATAAGATCCTAATTCACTTTGTCTCTCATATTTATCTTTTTTTTTAAAATAATCCTTATAATAATAGTAGTTCTAGATAATACACTTGATTAGTAAGAATATTTTAGGAAAGATAACATTTATTTATTACAAGTAGCTAATTTAACTAATTTTATTAATCTACTCAAACTAGTTAATAAGCTCTTATATTAAAGACAGGAAGTAGTGTTAGACGATGAATAGTAGATAAATGTCACGTCCTTGCATCTGTGTATTTTTTTTCATAAAAAAGAAAAATTAAGTTAGTTGGTTTTAGAGCTGATTTAGAAATATGGTACTTTTGAGTTCAAAAAGCGTATTTATAGAAATACTTACTCACCGCAACAGATTTAGATTTTCTCTCATTAACACTATGAGTCCAATATATACATATATTGGCTAGTTATATCAATATACTACCTCCAATTCTTAATATAAAAGTTAGTTGATTAGTTTGAGTATATTAAAAAAAATAGTTAAATTAATTATTTATAACAAATAAGTATTTTTTTTTAAATATTTTTGCTAATTACATATATTAGTTAGAACTATTATTTGATAGAAACACTTAACATATGCAATTATTATAAGAACTATTTTGAAAAAAAATAGATAAATGTGAAGGATAAAATAGATTATAGTCTTATATTTAGAATAAAATTAAATGTTAAACTAGCTCTTCTATTAAAGATTGTAAATAATATTAGTTAGTGAAGGGTTTTTCCAATATTTTTAAATTTTTTGGTAACATTTTTTTTTAATTTAACTCTGAAATTTTGGAAATTTTGTAACTGCCCTTGAAATTTGAAATGTCTTGACCACAAATTGTAAATTAATTAGCACATTGATTCCACGTTCCTTCTCCCACCCAAACTAGGGAAGACATATCTATTTATAAAATGAACAAAATGTAAACTCTATTAAAATTTGTGAAAATACGGCCCGCTGTATTCCAAAGATATTTGTTGAGCTCTTTCTTTCCGGGATTTGCATGTTTTTTTATGGAAATATAATGAGTATAATCTAACCTGAATAAAATAATGACGAATTCAAGCGTACTATTAAAGGTCAAATTAAAAGGGCGGTATTTATTGATGTCATTAATGGTTCCATTAGTATCCTAGATTTTTTTTTTGATGAGGTTAATATCCTAGATTTTAATCAATCCTTCGTCTGCCAATGATACGATGGTGTTAACTAAATTTCCTCCCCAATTTTTAATCCATCCTAATAGCAGTGCTCTTAAAAAACTTTAAATTTGTTAACTTTTATTTAAAATTTAATAACTTTTTAACTTTATTCTTGTTTAATATACATTATACATCAAAGAAACAAAGTTAATACTCCTCCGGTCCTTATTATAAGACCCAATTTGACTTTTTATTTGGTCCTAATTATAAGACCCAATCCACTTTCTCTCTTATATTTATACATTTTTTTCCAAGATAATCCTTCTAATAATGATAGTTTTAGCCAATATACTTAATTAGTAAGGATATTTTAAGAATGACAACATTATTTATTATAAATAACCAACTTAACTTACTTCC